GAGTTTGGTGCTAATTGGATGCAAATTTTTTTTCCCTCTAATGAAACACTAAAAATCACAATGTTTTTTCAGTTATGTCAAGATTTAGCCAAGTGGGAAAATTAAGAAAAAAGCAATATCCGTTGCAAACATATCAAAACTGCCCTTATTTCTACTTGCTTTTTGTATTCCATAAATGCTAAGAGCAAAAATAATTCATACAGACAATTGAGTAGAGGCTACTGTTAGACTGAAAGGTCAAATGTAGGTATTCAAATATATTGAAGTTACCTTTTGCTCTACACTACTTCATATGCATCATAAAAACGAAGGCAGCACTGGAATACAAGAGGTCTTTTCTTCTCATTTCTGCTTGTTCTTTTCTAGTATGAAAGCGTTAACTTGCATTAGTCAGAATCTTGCTCAAAATATATCTCTCGCAACCACAGAAGAGATCGTTCAAACCTGCATTTAAACAAGAGTAATCTATTTAATTATTGGGAGTTCAATCTGGCTGATAGCTACCTTTGCCATAGCTGTGGTAAATGGAAAACATGTATTTCTGGTAATTAGGTTAGTTCAAAGAACTCATACAGTTTAATAGATGCAGCTCTGTTTTACAAGGTCAATTTATAGCATACATTTCTCAGACTAGGTAGAGCCTAAAGATACTACTACACTATAAACACAAACTGAATAATAGGGAGCTACCTTTTCACAAGCAATAAATATGAGAACAAATGAAACAAAAATACTTAGGCTAGTCCTAACAGTGATGGGGAGAATGACCTTTAAAAAGGCACATACATCATCTGTGACAAATATAGGGGTTTTGTGTTGTTTTTAAAGAAACAAATTACAGAAAATTAAATTATATAATAATGCACACAATTTCCAGTGTAATGACTTCAGTAGAGGTTACTAATCCCCATTTACTCATCAAAAAGGACAACTTTTCACTAAAGCCTGCAAGAAGAAGTCACTGTATTATAGTAACATTCATAGACAATGCGGGTATTAAAACAAAAAAACAAATCAGTGTTTTCCTAGGATTCATATCAGATGACCTGGGTAATCATAGGTATGGAGGCCTAACCAGTAATAAAACTATTGACACTGAACACCTAAACACAATTAGCTAAGAATTAAGAAAGGTTATAATAATGGAAAGACAATAATTAATACAAATTATAAGTCTGAGTGAGACTTCTTCAAGGCTTAGTAACACCTGTTTTGATTGCCAACATGCTACGCAGTGTATGAGCTGTACTGAACAGGTGGAGAGTTTAATACTATCAGTGACATAGAAAAAATTTACTGATAAATTGCATATTCATATTAAAGGGGAGATGACCTACAACTTTATGATAAACATAAAGCAATTTCTAGCCTTTGAACAGCCTGTCTAATTGGCCAGTAATACTATAACCTCTATGTTGTCCACATACAGAAAGTCAGACAATCAGGACTTATACACACATGCTGTACTCGTATTTTCTCAGCTGAAGAGAGAGTTCTCCTTCAAAGTAACAGGATAACTATTTCACTGTTAAAAATTAAAGATGCAATGCAATAACTATTGTTGAAAACTAAGGACTCGATGCATGTATAAAATGATTAAAACCAGAATCAGTTTCAACTAACCAGGGAAACTACACAGAATAAACGATCTCCTTTTTCTGCATGTATGCCACATCACTGACACAGACACATAAGAACTTTTACACAGTTTTATTAATTTATAGTTTTATTCACCATAATAAAAAATTAACAGCACACATAGTGGGGTATACACATTTGTGTATTAGTTTAGAGTCAAGCTTATAGTTTTCTACACATTTACCTGTTTTCAGTTAAGGAATGTAGCTGTATGGCACCCTTTACATAAAAAGAAACAATGAATGGGAAGATTAGAAACTTACAGACTTGACAATATCCACTGAAGTCAACAGGAAATGTCTCCTTGGCTTCTCACTATCTTTTGACTTTAATATTTTAAAATTTAATTCATTCATTATTTCTAAACTGAGAGCAATCAACAGACAATATTTTTTTCATACGTGCCTTGTCATGAAATTGCCATTATTTATTTTGGAGTGGAAACAACCATAAGATATGTGTTTTTTTTCAGCCTGAGGCCAGTTTTCTACAAAGCCCTTTTATATACAATTACAATTTGAATTTAATCCAGAATTTGAGCTAGGTGGAAAAATATGCTTCCATTAAAAGCACATCAAGACTTAAAAGTTCTATACGTGCTGCCTCTTAGCTGTCAAGAGGAATATAAAATATCAGTTTTGTTCTGAATTATTTGTAACCTTCCTGCTTTGAGGATCTGTTTCCCTACACTGTACTGTTACGTCACATAACCTGAAGAGGGGTCTCCACACTGCTACTCCATAGGGCTTCTTCATGGGAATTCCTGAATAATTTCCACACTTATGCTAGATCATACTTAGGTTCATTTGATCGTTTGGACAGCACCATTTTCCACTAGGAAAACACTAGGACAGATGGAGAGGACTGAAAGCACCAATTGTCTATGAACAGTTATAATTTTGCGGGAAAGGAATCTTAGTTGCTGGACTACATTGAGAAAGGAATTTTACTGAAAGTCTTCTTTACTTTTGCTGATGGTGTCATCAAAAGATAAAAATATCTTTAAAATGTGGAAAATATCCAAAATAGTGGATGAGTGTAATTTTTTCTAGTATAAACTGAAACAAGAGAGGGGTTAGATTATAAGAACACAATCAGTGCCATTGAATAGCCATTGAATACCCACAAAATAAGTTTACTGGGGATAGAATAGGTATAAAGTACAGTAGATGTAACCTCTGCTGCAATAGTTACGTTAGCTGCATGAGGAAGTGTGCTCTTTCATCACCACAGGTACAGAAGCAGAAGTGCTTGCTGCAGATGCTATTAGCAGACCACCACAGGTTTGCTGGTGTAGTCTGCTTTCCCACGATTGCCCCTGTGTATGCCCTAGGCAAGATCTATAGTGAAAGGCAGGATTTACCAGAGCAGCTAAACATACATCAGGTCAGCATTAGCTAAATATGTAAGTATGGCTACATCAGGTTAGCAAACTCTCTGTCAGAACCTGAAAAGGAATATACTGCCTGAAACTCTGTATCCTTCTATAGCTTTCACCCCTACGTAATAACTGATAGAACATACTTGTGTTAACAGTAACTTGTGTTAACAGTAAGGGCAGAAGCATTCCTACTATACAACCAATTTAAGAAAGCAACTCTAATTCACCTCTTCATCCCCAATTGCTCCAGGGAGGGAGGAGATAGATCATGAAGAGGCACTCACCTGGCAGTGTGCTTTCTGCCAGACACAGTGGTATTACCCTCTCTGATGCAATGGCAACAGAGAGATTTAAGATTTCACTATTTCTCCTGTCCTTTTTCTCTGTGGCCTCATCTTCACTTCTGCATACACTAGCAAATGGAAAAAACCTAGACCGCCTCAAACTAGAATCCCATGAGGACCAAAGTTATTCTTAATTTTCACAGGAGTTAACATATTGTGTTGTAATTAGGCTCCCACACAGTTCTAAATCCAAACAGTTAATTTAGGTGAAAACTACCAACTGTCTTGCTCCAACCATGATTAGTGTAACTTGAGAGACTGTTCTGTGTCTAAACTGAGGCCTGAAGTGTGGGTGTACTTGATGTAGACACAGACGTTTTAAACTGGGTAGCGCAGGTACTGGTAAGAGTATCTTTATAGCAGCGCAGACCTCAGTAGAAACCAGCAGCTGAACGCCTACCCAAATCCCCTGACAGATTTTGTTGACCATACGAAGTAGTGTGTTGCAACTTCTCTAACATCTTATTTGACCAAAGCTGACTAGTTTAATACTGCGAACACATCTTCAGTCCCTGTGGATGCAGAACCAACCTTTGCTAACTCACCAGGCCACATCTTTTTACTTTTTTATAACAGGAGGAGGAGCTTCTAGCTATGAGATACCACCTGTAATAAAGGCAAGCAGTGGGGAAGCTAAAATCAGGCATTAAATGTAGCACGTACAGATTTTTTTCTTTCTCTTTGATAAATAAGACATAGGAAAATAGATACATCTGAAGAAAACACATTACTAGAACTGCAAACAGTGGGGTTTTCTGGAGTGTTTTTTTGCTTTGGTTGGTTGGTGGTTTTTTTTTTTTCCAAGAAGGGTATTAAAGCAGGCAGCCACAACCACAACTTTCCCACAGGGAAATCTACCAAGAAAAGAAAAAAAAAAAAAAAAGCTCCCCAGAAAGCCAAATACATGAAGTTATAACAGAAGTTCAACCGTATCCAGCATTTCCACCTCGCAGGCCCATCCTGCAAAGCACAGCCCCGTGCTCGGAGCAGGGGGAGCCGCGATTCCGCAGACCTCCCGCAGCAGGGGAGCAGCAGACAGAAGGCTCCCGAAGGAAAGCTCCCACAAGGTAAATTGTCTCCCCGGAGGACGGAAAACTTTGACACCCGCTGCACGGGGAGATATGAAATCTCTGCTACTCAGGACAGCACCGCACCCACTGTACTCAAATTACGAGGCGCCTAATTACCTTTTGTCTTGGCTTTCGCCGGCAGGAACGCAGAGGCCGGCTTCCAGGAAGAGGACGGGCCGCTCCCTCCGCGCCGGGCCGCAACACGGTTCCTTCGCGGGCGCTAATCCAGCCCCGCGAAGACGGCGGCGGCAGCAGCAGCAGCAGCAACGGGGTCGCCCCGCTGTCCTTCCCGCCGCAGCCCCGTCCCCCTCCGCCGGGCGCGACTCCCCAGCCCCCCCGCGCCGCGACAAGTGTCGCCCCGGCTCTCCGCCCAGCCACCCACCCCCTCCACCACCTCCGCCTCCTCCCAGAGGCCCCCTGCCCCCTCCCCAGCCGCAGCCCCGGCCCTCCCGGCAGCAGGAACAGTCTCTCGCACCCCCAGGTACAGGCCCCGCTAGGCCCGGCGTGGTGGTGGCGGCCCCGCCGGGCGCGGAGGGCGGACGGGACCCCGAGGGCGCCGGGGAGGGATTGGCTAGGCGGCGAGGGGAGGCGGGCGGAGAAGATGGCGCCGAGGAGCGGCGCGTGCTGAGGCGAGCGGAGCCGGACCGGGGCGGGCGGCGGTGAGAGGCCGGGCGCTGACGGCGGGGCCGGGATATGCGGCAGCGGCTGCTTCCTGTGCTGAGGCGGGCTCTTCTGGGCTTAGCGCGCCCCTGCGCCGTCCCGGCCTCCCAGGTTTTCCCTCAGTGCCGGCGGCGCAGCTTTCTCGGGTACGGTGCGTGTTTGGTGGGGGGTGGGACGGATGAGTGGGTGAGTTGGGGCAGGCCCCCGGGTGCCCGCACTGTGAGGTCGGAGATCCGCTCCTGTCCCCCATTGCGTTGTGTAAGAGGTGGCGGCGCGGCCGGGGCACCTTGCGCGGGCAGGGTAGTACCCTCCTTGCCCCGAGTGCGTCTTCAGCCCGGGGCCTGCGGGCAGCCAGGGCAGCGGAAACGCGAGGCTCAGGGGGGAGTGATGAGGGAGTTGGGGCGGCGGGCCCGTGTGTGCCTAGGAGGCCTATGTCCTGTGCTGCCCTGCCTGAGCCCGGTGCCCCGTGTGCCTCTAGTAGCACCTCGGCTGGCAAAGCAGCCTTGGTCATCAGCCTCATGGCTATGGCGCGGCTTCAGCTGCCCGGTGGGCTCGCTTTGTTATGTTTGTCCTCCTCCCCCCACCTCAAAAAGACCCCGGAATTTGCATGCTGCTTAACTTGCCATGTCTTCCTGAGCCATAAATGGTAAAAAAAAAAAAAAAAAAGTTTAAATTCTTTGCAAAGAAACTGCTATGGGAGTTACTCAGGGTTGATGGGACCGGCCTCGTCAGTATGTGTCAAACTGTCCAGTACTGGCACTGTGTGTGTCTTGTTTTTGTGTGTGTGTTACTAGTTCCAGTGGAGACACTAAGTAACCTCGATGGAGGGAGGAGCGGCGGGAGGCTTGGCATGGTTCGCTTTAGGGGCAAGCTAAACTGCGTAACAACTCGGCAAAGTTTTTCCAGGAAGGGAGCTGGGTAGAGGAGACAAAGTTTTCTTTTTCTTTAGCACTGTATCTGTTATTTTAATAGCAAACCCTATATTTAACACTGCAAAAGCAAGAGATGTCAAGAGTAACATCGGGGGGGGGGGGGAGAAGTTATGATGATTCATGCTGTCAATGCTTGTGTGTCAAAATTCGGATTTACCGTTATTGTTCATAATTGCAGCGAATGCTCCGGTATTGTAGGGTGATCCACAGTGTATGTTTGGAGCTAATGCTTTTCTTGGGCTGTAGGTTGTCTTGCTAGATTACTTATCTTTAAGCTTGTGAAAATATGCAGTATTTGGACTTAACTTTGCGTGTGTGAGTAGGCCTGTTGTGTTTTCATACTGCCTACAGCCATGATTTAATCATCTGTTTAATTGTGAATTAGGGTTTTCATAAACAATAATGGTATGAGAGCAGGAGTAGCGCTTTCACATGATATTTTTGAAGATGGCAAATGTGAAAATTAATAACCTTTTCTTTAATTACATGTGCCATGTTTCCATTTCTGAATTTCGTTTATTCTTAGCCTTTTTTCAGCTTCACCTTTTCCTTCTTGTAGAATTTTTAATCTTCATTTGCATGTCAAGTAGCAAGATAATTTCTCAGAACTTCTTATCGCCTCTATTCTAGTTAGGAAGTCCCTACAAGGTTCATGCTTGCATGGTTTTTTGCTCCCTTTCTGTCTTCAGTCGTTTGTAAGGCTGCGGCTTAGTCCCTTAGATGAAACCCTACCTTTGGGACTTTGATCAGAGTGTGAAGGATACAGCTTATTCTGCACATGAAGTAGTTCCCTACCCTGTCAGATCTAGAAGAAGAAAGCAGGAAGGGACAAAAAAGTTCTTTACCTTCAGTGCTTCACTGAACTGGAAGGTATTAGGCTCCTAGCTAGGGGTCATTGCAGGTTATTGTAGATGTCATTTACTAAAAATACTGTCAGACCATTTGAGAGATCACAAGTTGAGTTAGTATTTTAGGTATATTAATTCTATTGTATTGAATTCTCTCATAATAGTTTTAACAAGTTAGAAATCAAAAAGTTTGTAGTAATAAATGTCTGTGGAGGAATTTATTTAATTGGATTTGTGTCCAGTTATGCATTTGTATATGCATGGTGTGTCAGTGAATATCTTTGTGTTCTCAGTTTTTATGGTGTCTGTAAGTTGATACAATATGAAATAGCACTGTGTATATGTAATAAGGTGATTTTTGATGGAGTTTGATTGAAAGTTGCTTCACTGTAGCTTTCTGTTTAGATCTCACCTTCTGCAGCTTGGTTTTGGAATGAGTCAGAACTATAGCTTGCCTGAAAAATTCAGATGAAAAAAAAATGCTGTAGAATTGAGAGTTTACTTACAGCGTTAACAGTAGAGCTAGAATTTTCCAAAATCGTAATAACTAGAAAACAGAAGAGGTAAATAGCCAGGACTTTCTTTGTTGCAACACATCACTGCTGCTTGTTATAGGTCAGTTGATTAAAGTGCTAGTATTAGATAAGCAATTGCTTTTAATGTAGGATTACAGTAGTTGTCATGATTCAGAATCCTAAAGTTCTTTCTGTGTTTGTTGGTAGATCAGATTTTCTTGCCAGTTCTCTCATCTTTCTGTGTATTTCTTGTTATGCAGTATAACTAAAGTTTTTAATTCAGACCTCGCAAGTTTTTCTTTTTGAGGGTAAGAAACAGATGGTAGCATAAAGTGTTAAGTGAGTTGGCTTTACAAAGAGTCTTGGGCAATCTGATGTGCTACTTGCAGATAAAATGTTGAAAATGCACATCAAAATACAGTAGAATAAACCACAGAGGTCTTCCCTGTAACATCCAGTTTTGTTTCCTAGTGTGTGCAGGGCCATGTGCTAGACACCACTGCTGCACTGTGGTTGTGGACAAAGCCCTGCAGCTCTAGGGTGGTGGAGGAAAAACGTCAGGGAGGGAGGAAGAATAAGAACCACTGGCTTGTGAGTATTCAATGCATAAAGCAGTTAATTGGATTAATGAGTACATTTCTGAAGGAAATAAGTAAAATACACTTCCAAGCAGCTGGTTCTGTTACACACAAACTAGTCTTGTCAGTGTTGTTCTTAGCATGCAGTTTGAGACTGATGAAAATAATGCAAGCCAAAATACTATGACAGATTTGTGAAGTCATTCTGAAGATCCTGTATTGTCTAAAGGTCAAAACCAGATAATTTTACTTATATTTAATAAAGACCTAATCTTTCATGTAATTAAAGGCTTCAAAACCCTTTTGGAATTTTGTTGTTTTCAGCAATCTTGTAAAAAGAATGAAGAAGCACTAGGGAAAGAGTAATTTTAATTGTTTTATATTTCTGATGTACTTGGATAAAACTTGTTTACCATGGAGGGTGTGTTTTGATTAATTGTTTGGGGCAAGTTTTGAAGAAATAGGAAAAGTAAGCTGAAGTAGTTTAGAAATTTTTATAAACTGGATATGCTTTATTGCTGTTTGTGAAATCAGATTATATAAAATCCTGCCTTTGTATTTGACACTTTACCTAGTGCTTCGGAAACTGTGGAATGGTCAAGTAAAGAGATGTAGTTTCAGGGCAGTAAATTACCATTTTTGTATCTTGAGTGTATATCCCATTGGACTGACATGAGCCACAGGCATTATTTTACTAGTTATTCAGCTGAGGGCTGATCTTACATATGAAGCTACCAGGGCCAAGTTCACACATGATATTGTCTCATTAATGCTACTCATCATTCCTGTACACTGGCATGTAACACCAGTATTTCTACTGCCATGTTGGCAGTGAAGCTGTGACAGGCCAAGTTTTACTGCTGTGATCTAGAAGCTGTAGAAACTGGACCCTTCTGGGAATGAGAGAAAGGCAGGCTTCTGCCCTGGCCACACCATCATTAACAGGGAATTTTCAGAGTCAATTACAGACTTGGCGAAAACCAGCACACTGAGGTTCTGAAAATGCTTTAATTGTAGCAAGCTTCAGGATTTCTTCAAAAGAAACTCCATAACAAAACCTTATAAATATTCATCATCTTCAAACTTGCCTAATTTGGCATGATTAGTTGTTCTTAATAACTTGGTAGCCCTGATTAAATCATTGTGGGCCTTTGTAGTTGGAGCTATTATGTATGGGGTAATATGCTGAATTCCTAAGGAGTTTGAAAGTGATAAAACATGATAACATTTTGAGCAGTTTATCTACTTATGCAGTCTGTCTGTGTATGCAATCAGATTTATTTAGATCAGCATCAGGAATGTGTTGGGATCTTACATATTCTCTAGCTTCGTGACAAGTAGATTTACAGAAGATTGATGCTTTATGGATGTTGAGTAGTGTGAACTGTTTAGTCTCTAAATGTGTAAAAGAAAGATTGCTAGGTTTGTCTACTGATGAACCTGTAATCTGAAAAAGTTATGTATAGTCTCCCGAAGTAGCCTTTATGGTAATGGTCACCAGAGTTGATTTAATTTTGTTGGTTTTTTTTTGAGATTACTCTTTCTCTACTCCATTTTTCTATTACATTCTTGGTAACAGAACTCAGTAAAAACATTTTTTCTGACTTGTACTGCATATAGTTAAGACTAAAAAATAATTTTTAATTATGGTATACTACTGAATCAAGAAGAGAGGAGGTGACTTACCGGTGACGTCACTTGTTACACATACAAGGATGTCACAATGCCATTGAATTCTGTTGCTGTTGTGAGGAGAGGCAGTTGCAAGAGGTGAAGAGCAGGAATGAAGATCTGTAGAAAAATGGAGACTTATTTTATTGTTGCAGAGCCACGAGCTTGCAAATGAAGAAGTTCGTGGACTTTTCCAGAGGGCTCAGTTCAGTGCTGTTTTCCTGGTAAGAGAGGTAAGGAAACTGGCTGGTAATTTTGCAGCACTGCGCCTCCTGCCGAAGCACACAGCGCTTCTTTCAATCCATCCATTTGCAGCTGAAGAAATGGTTATGTGAGTTACTAAGAACTGTAAACCAAGATAGATCAGTAAATAAAGAGAGCACAGTTAACCAGTGGTAGCTCAGTTGCAGGGCAGAGCAGGGAAGGGTTTTGGCTCAACAGAGGTTTCACTTCACCCTGGTAAATGGTAGGCAATTAAGTGGAGGGGGTGGATGGGGAAGGAAGTAAAAGGAAATGGATATAAATAAAACACAGAACTTGGGACAGGTGCAAAATGTGAGATTGAACATTACTGTGGTCTTTGTGTAGTTTCAAAGACACTGCTGGAACTTTGGTGACAGTTGTACTGCAATAGTGTAACAAACCAAGTATATGCAAAAGACATGAAACATGAGTTGCTAAACATGAGGGGCAATTCAGATCCTAGTGTACAGAAGTGTAAGCTTAAAGTGAGTACATTGTAATACCCTCAGAAGTAATTTGGGTTCAGTTGCTTAAAAGCTTTAAGCAAACCCCAATTTTAAGGCAACTGATAAAAATTTAAAGCAAGGATCAAAATGGTAACTGTTGCCATTCATCTTGGTTACTTCAAGCTGATGAGTGTTTATAGCCATTCATCTGGCTCAGAACTGTGTACCCACATTTGGCTTAAATACATGCAGTCTGTCATGGGAAAAGAATCTAGGAAAGCACTTTGGCATTTGTGCTTTGGGGGTCATATTTTTATTAGCTAGTTACATTTTTGTGTTGAAGCAGCCCTCAGGAGTTTCTGTTAATTGGTTTTCAAATATGGTCCTTTAATTGTTCAAACATTGAACTTAGTTTTGACTACACTGGCTAATTTTTAATTAAAGTAAGTTTCCTGAAATAACTTTGAAAGATTAAAATAGTTAGGCAGAATCACGTATCACTTAGTCCCACTCTGTAATATGTTTGCAGGTGAAACCTTGCTGGTTCGAAGGGACTGCCTGACTGGAAGTCATTAAAAAAAAATGTGGCCTCAAAGAGTAGAATATAATTTATTTCAAGTAGTTATAGTTTATAATTCAGCATCTGTTTTAGTTGATAACTTTGCTCATACAGGTGAAGTAATTTTGATGAGGAAGATTATCTTAACATTTCGTAGTCACTGAATAGGGACACTGCACTCAGTTCCAACATCCCTGTTCTTTTCTCCGTTTCTGTCTAACTCTGTGATGTTGCCACCTGTAATTCTTGAGCCAGTGGAAAAATTACTAGTGCCACAGTAATGCTTTGTGTTTGTTCTTGCCTCCTTTGCTTTACTGGGTCTTTCTCTGTTTCTTCTGTGTTGTTAAAGTAGTAGGACAGTATTTCTTCTCATGACATTTTTTTGTTAGGATATTAGCTCTGCAATAAACATAGAATCTAGTTTGTGGATTAATTTAATGCTACTGACCATCAGCACCCCATACTCATTGTGATGACAAAGCAAGTAGATACAGCTCTTACATTTCAGGACAGCATCTGACCATGACTTCTGGAATTAAGCTATTTTTCAGGAAACTACAAGAAATACAGAATTCTTTCTTTCAATTAATTTTTTTTTTTGTTACGATCAAAAGCAGTCTGTTGGCAAAAAGGTTTGTAGGGGTTTTAGGATCCTTGTGAAAGAATGGAGTGTGGTATTGTTACAAAACAATTATACATAGACAGCTTAGAAGTTGCATGTAAAAGCAGTTGTATGTACAATATTATATCTTACAATTTACTCCTTAAGAAAAAATCACAGTGTAAATAAGCGACATTTTCTTCTCTAGCTATTGTATTGTAGAAACACAGCACCAGGAGGAATGGCACTTGAGCAGGAAGGTGTTGGTTTTGTTCTTTTGACACATTGCCCTTCAGGAATATTTCATAGTTGATCTGCTTTTGCTTTGATATGAGTTGTCTGGTACTGCAGTTTAGAAGGGAAATAATTGTGAGCTAAGCATGCAAGTCCATTTGAAATTGACGAGAAGGTTGTATTCACAATGCCCATTGAAATAGCAATGAAGATAGAGACACATGTTTAAGTCCTTGGTATGAAAGCTTAATAACCGGTTTTGACCTTTCTGAAAATTATAGGTTTTTTGCTGTACTGAAATTTGACTGCCAGCTGGAGGTAGCCTATGAAGGAGGCAGAAGTAGGGAATGATAATGAAATGGAGGTGTACAGCTTCACAAGACATCAATTGAAATCTCATAAGATTTCATAGAAGCTGTGTAATTTGATGAATCACATTGGAAAGATGAGTCATCTGAACAAACAGTAAAGTTCTGTGACTTAATGATGTGGTGTAGAAATAACAAAGAGATACGAGAGGATGAGGAAATTGTTATTTAAAGAAACCCCAACACCTTGAGAAATTTATAGTATATATGCATCTTATAATAATCAGCTAGTATCTTAACGAGGTGCTCCTTCCTTAAGTGAAGTCAGGAGGTTGAGCCCTCCTTGGTATCCTGCATACTTTTATTTGTCAATCCAGTAGAATTGTATGCAAGTGAAATGCAGTTAAGAACACTTTAGTTACTGATTTTCATCTATGAGAAGTGGTATCTAGTCTCTCTAAATAAATTTTACGCAGTATCTTAAGTTTAGTAGAGTATTTCGACTTTGAACGAGGAGGCATCTTTAAAATCATAGGCATGGATTATATCAGTGCTGTTGATGCAGAGAAATGGAGATGTTGCTGTACTTGGAGTATCCTTCGGTTTTGAATGGTTTCTGCATTTTTCCAGAGGAAGAAAGTCTATAGGTGCTCCAGGCAGGCTTAGCCTAAGTACAAGGTTAAACTAGTGGATAAATAACAGGTTTAAATGAGAGTGTAGATATTTACATTAAAATTTAGCATTTTGGTTACTGTTTAGTGGTTACATTTGATTGCACTGGTTTTTTAAAGGTAGTTCAGAGTGTGAGAACCATGTTCCTTCTAAAATCCATTGAATTGCACATTAAAGTTACTTGCTTAGAGACACTCAAATTCTGATTATTCATCAATGCTTTCTGTGTTCAGCACTTCTGTATTTTGTTTCTTTGTTGTTTTTTTTTTTATTTGGATTAGAATTCCTGCTTGTAATTTTGATTTTCTTTCATTATTATTTCTTTCATGTTAGAACTTAAGTCTATCTAAAAGTTCCAAAGTAAATTTTTGGGGTTTTTTTACTTATTTGAAAAGCATTCAAAGATCTAATGCTTACTTTACTGCTTTTTTTTTCACAATAATATCTTCTCCACTTTGCATTTTCTTCCTCAGACATAAATACAGTCTTACACAAACTTTCACTCTGCTACAGATAAAATCTTATTTTTCTGTATGTGAAACACTGTTTTTCACTGATTCTGCTGTAGACATTATGTTCATAAACTTTTTGTCCTTAACATGCTCTTAATAATGGGCTCTTTATTAGTCTCTTTGTAATATATAACAGCAACACTGATGATTCTGCATCTGCTGACTTCAAGTTGGCTGTTGTTTTTACTGTAGAATCACATGAATAAATGGAAAGGAGATAATCCAGAGGGACAGGAGCTCTCAGAACTGCTTCCTGTTTTGAGAATGATAGAGAATTTTAGGAAGGAGATTTTATTAACTGACTCCCATTTTAATTTTTACTTTTAAGCTGTAAATAAAATATGTAAACAGTTTTTTCTTTTCCAAACAAAGTTTTTTGTTACCCTATAACACTGAGTGTGCAGTTGGTTTGCTAGCTAGAGAATTAGTTAAAATGTTATGACTGAAGATCTGAAACAGAAAGTATATTGTGGTCTGTGCAGTCCTTCATGTTCCACATCTCATGTGGTCTTAAAACTTGGGTAAAGTTCCTTGAACTGTACAACCTGAAAATGGAAAAGTAAATACTGTACAACTTCTTGTTATCTATGAGATACCAACAAGACCATGGAGAATTTCTCATGCCTCTGTCTGTGTTGTGGTAGAATTACACTCAGATCTGGTTTTCTTTGTAAGAGAAATTAGTTCAGCAGTGACTAACAAAGCTTATGCAGTAAGTTACTTGGCAAGCAACATTTCACCACAGGAAAAGATTTGCGTTTGGCTGGTACCACATAACAGGCTCTGTTCTAATACCCTTCTGAGAAAACAGGGTTAGAATTCAGTAGCTCTTACATGCTGGAATAAACCACATGGTTGGCTTAGAGCGTAGTTCTTTGATTTCCTGTTTCTGGGATTTGCTTGTATTTTTGTATGTGTGTGTCTTTGTGGTTGTCGTCGTTGCCCCCCCCCCCCCCCCGTGTGTGTGTGTTGGTGTGGTTGTTTTTTATTTGCTTGCTTGTTTGTTTTTTTTCAGCCAAGTGGTTCTTCTCAAGCTTCCTAAGTATCCAAATCTGAATGGCTCACCTTTTCACTTGGCATTTAAAAAAAGTGAATAACCAGAGTTTATAATTTCAGATTCACACTTAGTTTCTTAGGATTTCAAAATTATGCCATTAAAGAAGCATGTCTCATATTATGTCTGTTAAACTAATAGAAGTTCAAACATGTGAATCTGTTCCTGCTTATCAGGGCAACATTACAGCGTGTTTGTATTTTTATGGCAAATGGTGCACCCTTTCATGCTGGAGTGTACCAATCCAGTGGTTTACTAAAATTTTGTTTATCTGACAGTTACAAAGTTACAACATTTATAACATAACCACCAATTCAGACACATTAAGTACTTTTCTGAAGCCTTGAAAGTACACCTGAGAGAGCCGTGTATGCTTCATTTAATTTAGTTTTTATCATAGTTGAATAAGGGGATAATATTTCTTTACTTTCTTAAATTACTGTTAGTATGAAACTTGAAACATTAGTTGCATGATCTACAAATGTATAATGTTGCTTGGTTTTTGGTTTGGTGTTTTGTGTTTTTGTTCTAACACCAATATCTTTCGGGATCTGAACTAAACTTTTAGTCCAGTTCTATGAGTTTTGTTCAGAACTCAATTTCTTGGTGTCAGTATTGCCCAGAATTCTTTATCATAATATTAAAATATTACCAGGGCCCATGTAAAAATAGTGACATTTGTTCTGCTTTCTTCCAGGTTTCAGACAGAGACAAACAACAAAATGAACAATCCAGCTATTAAGAGAATAACAAATGAAATTATCAAATCACCTGAGGATAAACGAGAATATCGTGGACTGGAATTGGCAAATGGCATTAAAGCTCTTCTCATTAGTGACCCCACAACAGATAAATCTTCAGCAGCACTTGATGTACACATAGGTATTTAATGCATGTTGTGTTCATTATGTCATTAATAAAATTGCTTCAAGTTTTGGTATCTTAATTGCAAATAAACTGGCAGGCATGGTATTCAGTTGGCAGCTTCACCTTTTATTGTCATTTAGAGTTTGTTTAATTCTTTGACACATAAAGTTGAAAATTATTAGAGTTAATTAAGTACTCTTACTGTACTTTCTGTTTACTCAAGTGTAGCTCAGTCAATAGAAAGACTTCTTTTAACCATTAAGTTTCATGTTATGAAAGATCTTTTGTAAGCAGAAAAGGGGCGGGTGTGAGTGCAATTATTTCAGACAGCTCCATCTGTTATGTCAGACTTTTTTTTTCTTTTTCTTTCATGTTAAGTTGTTGATGTGTAGAGGTGAGAAAATGCTGTAGTGCTGGAAGAGTTGGAAGGGCACTCCCTAACTCCAGTGATGCTTAGGTGTGCAAATAGAAACACTGGAAATAGAAGGGAAGGTAGTTACTTTGATTCTTTGGAACAATGGAAGCCTGTCTTAGATCTGAGGTATTTCTCAAGCTTGTGTAGTTTCTCAGTTGCTTGGAAAGTATGATGGGCACACACATTACATAAGGATCCTCTTGCTATGTTTGTAGTTGGGAATTCTGGCTGCCGTTGGTGTTTGGACAGAAATAGTAGAGCAGCTTTGAAAATTTCTGGCCTTTTTTATTATGGAAATAGCTGTCACAAGTCATTATCTCACTCAGAGGATGCCAAATGTGATTTTGTTAGGTACTATGACAGTAATAGCCAACTGCAGCATCCAGTTCCTGTACATGTACTGAAAGAGATGTATCTGTTGCCTTCATTTTTCCCATTGCACATCATTGCATACTCCAAAGCAGGTCACTCTAACTTCCACATTTCTGGCTTCCATTCTTGCACATCATTATTGTCTTTTAATCCATCCTCCTTTATAATTACTAGCTGGTCCTCAGTAGCTGCTTGCGTTCAGGCAATTACAGGTTATCAGTCATCCTATAAACCACAGGATAAATACCTCCTTAATTGTGGTTGTCAATTGCTGCCCTTTACACAGTGCAATTATTAAAGTCAAGGTATAGAAGTCAGAACACTGATCTGCCAGCTCTTTACCGATTATGAGTCATAGACTTCAACAGAAAAATTGTCTCTGTAAGTCAGTACAGGCTGATTTGGAGAGGCAATTTGCGACATTAATTGGTTCAGTTACTAAGCCTTTATTTTATTTTATTTTTAGGATTGAATTTAGTTGACTGTAGCTGCACAAGTGTCTGCTTACATTCACAGAACTGGTATAATTGCCTGAGGCAACACACTGTAAATATAAAGCACTTTGAAAGACTTAACAATTTAATATTACTTTCTGAATGGTTAAATGGAGTTTTTCCTCCTGCAGGATCCTTGTCTGATCCCCCCAACATTGCTGGGCTTAGTCACTTTTGTGAGCATATGTTGTTCCTGGGAACCAAGAAATATCCAAAAGAGAATGAGTATAGCCAATTTCTTAGTGAGCATGCCGGGAGCTCAAATGCTTTCACAAGTGGAGAACATACCAACTATTACTTTGATGTATCACATGAACATCTGGAAGGTGCACTAGACAGGTAAATAGATTTTTGTGATATGGGTGTACTTTGAAATTGTGTAAAATTTTGTGGGTTTTTTTTTTTTTTGTTATGTTATTAAAGAAATGTTTGAGGGTGCTATCTTTTGTTAAAACTGATACCAGATATTTTTCAGTACAAAAGTTTTGCTCAGGTTTTTTCAGCTAGCATAGTTCTTTGCTGAGGCAGTATTTTTGAAGTTCAAAGTTTGTGTTCACACTGAATGTTTTTGGCAATATTCATATTTCAATCCATATGGGAGACAGAATATGATTGTGAGCTTCTGCATTGTGCAAATACTCTGACTGTATAATCAAATACTGTGCTTCCTATAGGATCCTTATTTCATTGATAGCAAAAGAAGGATGAAGTCTAGAAATACATTAGGATGCCTTTAGTAAAGGGAACTCACTGAAATCTCTGCCTTTTGTGGGAGGGGACAGAAATTGAAAGATGTGTAGTCAGTGAGGTAAAAGTGGTTTTTTTCCCCTTTGGATTTTCCCCTGATGTCTGACTAGACTGACTTGATTTGTGAGATTAAAAGAGTCTTTTGCAGCTAAACTTCAAAACACTAGAAATGTTCAGTGTATTGATTATGATGTAAGCTCCTTGATCGTCATAGTACCTTATATGATGAATATATTGTTGTCTGCATTTATAAATAAACTGAGAAATACAATTTGTGAATCAATGTCAGAACTGTTACATAATTTATAACTTTTGCATTACAGAAATAATAGTTTGTTTACAGGAGGTACATAAACTTCATAGTTTTCTGTTACTGTTTATGTGCACTACTCTTGCCTTTAATTTAAAATTTTCTGTTTAGATTTGCCCAGTTTTTCCTGTGCCCTTTGTTTGATGAAAGCTGCAAAGACAGGGAAGTGAATGCTGTTGATTCTGAGCATGAGAAGAACCTGATGAATGATGCCTGGAGGTTGTTCCAATTAGAGAAGGCTACTGGAAATCCCAATCATCCCTTCAGTAAATTTGGAACAGGTTTGTCAGAGTATAATTATCCATCCATTGGAGTTCTGTGTAACACACAGTAGCATTGTTTATAAAAGATTGTTAAAGACAGACTGAAACAGTTGCCTTCTTCCCCCTTCCTATACAAGTTTATTATGGTGCTTTATCATATTTTCCACATCGTAGACCAAAGAGAGCTAGACAAAAACATAAGAAACAGAGTGATTAAAGACTTGCAGTACAGTGATGAAGCATCCGTTATGATTCTGATAATTACTGTAGTGAATGCTGTTTTCCTATGACTGGATTTGTCATAATTCGGTGCTGTTAAGTCTTTGTACATAACAAAGTGAATGAACTGTGTTTAAATTGTTGTTAGTCACATGCTGGTTTTGCTAGCTAGTATTGCGTTAGGACCACATGACAGTGGCTAGGTCAAATTGGAAAGATGAGCAAGTTAATGTAAAAATTACTAGTAAGGACATAAAACTCAAAATCTTAAGCACAGAACACAACAGTAGTAGGTGGATAGATAAAAAGGTCTTGGACAAATCCTGATCTTATGGTTGTAAGTTTTTTTTCTGGCTTTATTATTTACAGAATGCTTAGTAACAATTTAAACACCCAAAAACCTCAATTTAAAAAGCATTAAAGTAAGATGCTGTATTTATGGTCAAAACCACAAAAGTTCAGTGCTTTGGCAGAAGTTCAGTTTTTTATTTTTAATTTTTAATCAAAGTTATTTTCTACGTGAATTTGGTTTTGAAGCTATCAAAGTGACAGGGCTATTAATTCATGCACTGCACTGTTTGATCCTTGAGTATGAATGCATTTTGTGGCTGGGTTGGTTTGCTGAATGAATAGTTGATGAAAATATTTGGTACAGTAGGATGATGAAAGGGCAAATAATGGGCTGAAAGAGTTAGTTTCTTCCTCTGTCTCAAGAAAGAATTTTTGCACTTGTTGATGTAGGTCATAGTTGAGGAGCTGGTAGCCAGCTGCTACAGGAGCATGTTTGCTCTGTTCACCAAGAGAGACAGGCTCTCTGAAATTGGGAAACTGTAACTACATTCTCCAAACAGGTAAATTTGAAAATTTGGGCAGGCAAGCATCTGATGTACATTCTGTAATCTCTGCTACAGAAGAGATTATTTAATTTTTCTATAGCACTCAGAAAATGCAAGTGAAAGTTGCAGAATGTTTTTCTGCAATTAAAGGTTTTATAGCTGATACAAGTGAAATGTTTTCACGGGGAGAATACCTGACATGCTCAAATTCAGTAGCAGTAGTCATACCCACCTCTTCTTACATTTGATTCTGAAATTAAATTATAGCATGTAGCCTTCCTGTAGACCTGACTTTGCAGATGTAGAGCCCAGCTTTGATGGTTTTTATTTACTTAGAGATGACAGCTGTGGTAGGGTTTTCAGGGCAAGTGCAGTTGGCATCCTTCTTACTGTTCCCTTTTGACCAGTTGAAATGTTGTTAGTCTAGCAGAATACAGGAATGACTTCATTTGATGCTTCAGGTCACTCCTCGTAGCAGCCTGTTTTCCAGCAAACCTTCTATTACTCTTTGTCTGTCCAGAGAAACAAATTCACCTTAATCTTCTAGTTTTCTTGTTAGGATGTGCGGTTTGTCCCACATACCCTTCATCCATCTCCCTGAATTGATGCCTATGATGGTAATTCTTCTCTGTCAATACCTTCACCAGTGTCAAGTACTTTCCTAGGTACTTTTGCATTGTCTAGAGTCCATTTTCTTACATCTACAAGCCTCTTGCCTCTTAATGTACTCCAGTATTGTAACAGCGCAGTTTCTGAGCTAAAGCTTTAGCTTATTTTTGTTGTATTTTATTCTGTTTTGTTTTAACCTATGTGTTGATCTGTGGGTAAGAAAACCTACGTTTCATTTGTCTGCAGATAGTGAGGAATACAGACAAAAATATTTTAAACATAATACCCTAATTATGCTTTTTAGGTGTAATTAAGAATCCTTGCTTTTTCCGTATATGTGAACTTTGAAAATTAAAGGAATATATTGCTTCAGGCAGTCTCTTCATGATGTTTTGTTGACTGTTGCAATTCCAATTAGACTTGTATCTAATCACCAAACATCTGGACAATATACTTGTCATATATTATTTATGTAGCTCATTTTGCCTCATTGATTTGTATTCACTTACATCTGTGATTGTAGGATTTGTGCACCAGGCATATATGCATGGCAGACATGGTCTATGTCTTCTCTATCTCTTGCTGGTTTTTTCCTGTATGTACATAAGTCAACTTTTCTGCTACACTTTCTTGCCTTATTCTTCTTCCACATCCCTTGCTCTCTTCTGTGTCTGGTCTGGTTGTGGCTTAAGGGGGTTACTGATCACAGAGTTAACAAATAGAGTATTTGCACATCTGATCTGTAGATTCTGATGACCATTTTGTGTGCCCATGTAGTTGTGAGAAGTGGAGTCGATTAAAATCCAGTGTAGACTCTTTCTTCTTAACCTGTACTAAACATGAGTTCTGTTTTGATTATAAATATGGAGCATGTCCTTAGAATAAATTGTTGAAATCTTGATGTAAAAATTGCACTAATTAACAGGACAGTAATTTAACAGAGAAAGTTCAGTATCTCCTGCTTTTGGGCTTATTCAGGAGGAGTTGTAGTTTTCTTCCTCTCTAGTCCTATTCCCCTACTGCAGCAACAGCTCAGCTGTTTTTGAAGCAGAAGCTGAACAGTCAGAATTTACAAATAATATTTGTAAATTAGTAATTATATATTTAATTTAATATACTAGGCTATAATTTGTGTCACACAGTGCTACAAGTAATTTCACACAGTGATTCCTATGATAGGAGTGTGTATATTGGAGCAAAAACCTCCTGCAAATGTACTAAATTAAAAACCTCTGAATTAGAGCCTGGGCTTACTTGCTTTGAAGTAACTTATTTAAATTAAAATGATTAATTTGGGAGACTAAACCATCTTTGGTTCCTTAGGAATGTGCAGATTGAGAGTGGAAGTATTCATTGTCTCTGATGTGCTGAGACAGCACTGATCCAGCTTACTTATTATACATGGTTTGTTGTTGTTTGTTTTTCGAATTACTATCCACTTGGAGGAAAGCAGACTTACTAATTTATATTTTTCATTTGTAAATTCATAAACATCAAATGTAGTTAACTTCTTTTTAAATTCCAGGGAACAAACTCACTCTGGAAACTAGACCAACCAAAGAAGGAATAGATGTAAGACAAGAACTATTGAAGTTCCATTCTACTTATTATTCATCAAATTTAATGGCTATTTGTGTCTTAGGAAGAGGTGAGTTTTATTCTGCTGGTTGGTATTTATGTTTGAAGAAAATATAAGTGAATGTAAGTGTTGGAAAACCTACAGAAGGGAAGAAAGTAAAACTTGTACAGACTGACCAAACATAATTTTGTTTAGTGAAGTAACTTGCAATGTATGAATTTTCATGTTTGTAAGTGTACTGTAGGAAACATAAACTGAAAATTTTAAATCTATTATCAAGTCACCAGTTCCTGTCTTTGTATGTTTGTCTTCTGAAGACTGGCGCCTGTTTGTTTTCTGAGGCTGAGAGGGCTTTCTATACTGTTTTTGTATTTTAGACTTACATTTCCACTACAAAATTTTCTGTATTATCAAAGGATAAATCTGACCTAACATTCAGATAAAAAGGCTTTACTTCAGTTTACTTTTTACAGTTGCCCAAAGAAGTGGTAAATGCTCCATCCCTGGCAGTGCTCAAGGCCAGGCTGGACAGGGCCTTGGGCAATATGGTCTAGTGTGAGGCATACCTGCCTATGGCAGGGGGGTTGGAACTAGATAATCCTAATGTCCTTTCCAACCCAAGCTATTCTGTGATTCTGCTTCTGAATTAACTTAACAGAGGTTCCAACTGCTTACAATTTTCCATGGTCGAGTTGATATTTTACATAGGCTTGCCAAAAGCTTAATAACAGTGTCGAAAAGTGTTTGCTTTTTGAAAACTTGCTGTCAGACTGGTATTTGCATGGTGGTTTACAATAATGCTCGGATGATGAGCGTGAATGGAATAAAATTCATTAGCAAAGGGAAATCTTCTTTTACTACTCTCTGTTTACAGAATGCTGAGTATGAAGTTGCTTAAAAAAATGTACCTGTTTAATTTCAATCATAGCATATACCTGAATCATTTTTTATTGTAGATTTTTGAGGTGGGCAGACACAGTGAAGATTGTATTTATTAACTGAATCCGAGTTTTGTGCATATACTCACTACAGATCAGTTCCAGGCTCCTTAATTCCTTTCAAGTCTATTTATTATTACATCTCACCTGCTGTAACATCACACATTGATGTGACTATGGTGAAGGGTTTTTTTCACTGTTGCAAGCTGATAAGGAAAATGTGCTATATGTATTTTTTATTTCTATTTAAATGTGGGGTGTCAGTCGTGTTACTGGTAGGTATGCAGGCAATACCAATAGGCATAATATATGTCATGCTAAAAAGCCTTTTGGTAGTAGTGGAAATCTTCAAGTAAGCACTGTAACACTGATGAAGATAGCTTGTAAATATTTTTCAATATAGTGATTTTATTTTTATTGTTATTTAGGAGTGCTTCCCCCTTCTCAGGTTTTTCTTGTTTGTTTTATCTGAGCAAAATAAAAAAGTTTCTATAAAAATATTTATTAATTGAAGGTAAGTAGATAGTGATCAGAGTTTAAAATAATTGAATTAAAATTCTCTTCCTCATTTAACAGTTTTGTTTTGAAGGTTTCAAGGCATCTTTTTTTCAGCTAGTTGTTTACTGGACAGGCAATATTCCAGGACAGACAAGATTTGCATTTCAAATGTCAATAAAGTGTAAAAAATAGTCTTAAAATCTGTCCCTTTCAAACGTTTCTGCAGTTTGCATGTGTGTTTTTTTTTAATGGAAAATACTAAAATCATTCTCATGAAACTCCTGAATTTAAGTGGCTTTACTAGTCATTTTTCACAGTCAAATTCTTTCTGTTTGCATTGTGCTTGTAAATAGTTCAATGTTTAGAAAAAATAGAGCCTTCGAAACAATCTTTGGGACTTTTCCTCTCAATCTCATAAAAGAATTTTTTGAAAGGTAACTTGGGTTATTTGTTTGTCTGCCTATATACAAAATGCTGTACAACTACCCTTATTTGTTGTATTTAAGTGGTTGTTACTGTAATAGTGAAGTGCTATTTGGACAAAAATTGTATGTTATTTTCCCTGAGAAGACACTGTTATTTGTTCAAGCAGGAGAATTATGCAGTTACTTTCTGGAAGACTTTATGTTCACGACTGCTTTGGCTATTTGAGGGCTTGCCTCTACCATCAAATGTGAAAATTTACAAGTACTTAAAAATTACTTTCAGGGAGCTTCACCCACAAAAAGCAAACTGTAGAAAACAAATCTTGTTAGCATTATTCCATAAATTCTTTGCTGAAATATGTTACTATTAATGTAGCGGTACTGCCGATTAATACATAGTTAGAAGTCCTGTAACAAAAATAGGTTGAGTTGCGCACTGCAAGTCCCCCATGATCTGCCTCTCCGCTCCTGGGCATTGTGAAATAAATGGATGTCTAAAGTTGTGTGCAGCCTAATAGTTCTCTTGTTTTTCCACCACTATATATTATGTAATGTAAAACAAAAATGTACCAGTGTCAGTAAAAAGTGGTGGGGGAACCAAAATAGAATTTCTGTAGTAAATAGTATTAGATATTCAAAAGCTTGCTAGAAGTTAAATAATGGAATTCAGTTACTTACTTTTAGCTGATCAAAAGCAAAATTCACTGAGTAAGGTTGACCTGCTGGAAAGTAGTGAAGGGGAAAGGGACCTGGGGGTGCTGGTAGACAGGAGGATGACCATGAGCCAGCAATGTGCCCCTGTGGCCAAGAAGGCCAGTGGCATCCTAGGGTGCATTAGAAAGGGTGTGGTTAGTAGGTCAAGAGAGGTTCTCCTCCCCCTCTGCTCTGCCTTGGTGGGGCCACATCTGGAATATTATGTCCAGTTCTGGGTCCCTCAGTTCAAGAAGGACAGGGAACTGCTTGAAAGAGTCCAGCACAGAGCCACAAAGATGATTAAGGGAGTGGAACATCTCCCTTATGAGGAGAGGCTGAAGGAGCTGGGTCTCTTTAGCTTGGAGAAGAGGAAACTGAGGGGTGACCTCATCAGTGTTTACAAATATGTAAAGGGTGAGTGTCAGGATGATGGAGCTAGGTTTTTTTTCAGTGATGTCCAGTGACAGGACAAGAGGCAGTGGGTGTAAACTGGAGCATAGGAGGTTCCATGTGAACATCGGGAAAAACTTCTTTACTGTGAGAGTGACAGCACTGGAACAGGTTGCCCAGGGGGGTTTGTGGAGTCTCCTACATTGGAGATATTCAAGGCCCGCCTGGACAAGTTCCTGTGTGATGTACTCTAGGTTACCCTGCTCTTGCAGGGGGTTTGGACTAGATGATCTTCTGAGGTCCCTTCCAACCCTTGGGATTCTGTGATTCTGTAATCATAGAACAGCTTTAGCATGGTGGTTCAAATACAGAATTCTAAGTGGAAACTTTTTCAGTAAGAAGCACCCTGGCAACTGGAAATCTGACCTAAAGAGAACCCTCACTGTTGTTGTAAAGCATAAATGAACGTAGAATCATAAAATAGTTAGGGTTGGAAAGGACCTTAAGATCATCTAGTTCCAGCCCCCCTGCCATCGGCAGGGACACCTCATGCTAAACTGTGTCACCCTAGGCTCTGTCCAGCCTGGCCTTGAACACCACCGGGGACGGAGCATTCACAGCTTCCTTGGGCAACCCATTCCAGTGCCTCACCTCCCTTACAGTAAAGAACTTCCTTATATCCAATCTAAGCTTCCCATATTTAAGTTTTAACCCATTACCCCTTGTGCTGTCACTACAGTCCCTAATGAAGTGTCCCTCCCCAGCATCCTTATAAGCCCCCTTAAGATACTGGAAGGCTGCTATGAGGTCTGCACGCAGCCTTCTCTTCTCCAGGCTGAACAGCCCCAACTTTCTTAGCCTGTCTTCGTATGGGAGGTGCTTCAGTCCCCTGATCATCCTCGTGGCCCTCCTCTGGACTTGTTCCGACAGCTCCATGTCCTTTTTATGTTGAGGACACCAGAACTGCACACAATACTCCAAGTAAGGTCTCACGAGAGCAGAGGGGCAGGATCACCTTCTTCGACCTGCTGGTCACTCTCCTTTTGATGCAGCCCAGGATACAGTTGGCTTTCTGGGCTGTAAGCACACACTGCTGGCTCATGTTCATTTTCTCATTGACCAGCACCCCCAAGTCCTTCTCCTCAGGGCTGCTCTGAATCTCTTCTCTGCCCAACCTGTAACTGTGCCTGGGATTGCTCCAACCCAGGTGTAGGACCTTGCACTTGTCATGGTTAAAATTCATAAGGTTGGCATCAGCCCACCTCACAAGCGTGTCAGGGTCCCTCTGGATGGCATTCCTTCCCTCCAGCGCGTCAAGCAAACCACACAGCTTGGTGTCATAGGTAGAATTGCGGAGAGTGCACTCAATCCCACTGTCCACGTCACCGACAAAGATGTTGAACAAGACCGGTCCCAACACCAATCCCTGATGGACACCACTCATTACTGGTCTCCAGCTGGACATTGAGCCGTTGACCGCAACTCTTTGCATGTAGCCATCCAGCCAGTTCTTTATCCACCAAGTGGTCCACCTATCAAATTGATGTCTCTCCAATTTAGAGACAATGATGTCATGGGGGACAGTGTCGAACTCAGTTGTATTTTGCTGGCGTGGATAAGAATGGTGGTCTTTTAGTAGAACTACGTGCCATTCAGAAAGCTTTATTGCACAGTGACTCACCTCAGTTTGCATTGTTTTTTGGGGGTTGTGTTTTAATTCTTAGGTGTTTTTTTTCCTGAGCTGTTCTCTTAAGTGCAGGAGCATACATGGGTAGGAAAGGTTCTGCCGTCTAAATTCAACTGGGATTCTAAATCGAACAAGGTGACTGCTTTTTTAAATCTTTCAAGGATTAAGCTTGTACTTTGAGCAATCCAAGAAACGCCTACCCTTGAAAGGCGTGTGCTAAAAAATTTGACGGATATGTCTTTCTTATTTTATTCTCACTTTGAGAAGGGCTCCAAAATGCATTTGTTTAAGCAGATAGCTATTTTGAAGGCAGTGTTTCAACATAAATGATATGGGTCAATTTAGGTGAATTCATGCAGAACATTAAATTCTGTCTGTCTGCAAATGGACTTCCCGCTCTTTTTGGAGAGTAGGACTGGAAGTAGAGTAGATGTTAAAGTTGAAGTGCTTAAACAGGTCACAGATGTGTGTGAAATCTTATGGCACTGAGGACAGATGACCCTGGCTCAAAGAGTACATGAAGTACTGGAGGTGAACTGAGGCTGAAGAAAATCCAAGTTTTGGCAAAGGTGCTTTCACTCGGAAAATTTGCAGCTGCGATACCATGTGTGTTAACCTTTTTCTGGAATGTTTATTTTTTGTAAATGTACAATATCTGATGTGTCTTTTCTTTGGTTCCAGCTTAGCTTCATCAGTAAAATTTAGATATGTTTTTTCTGGTTACTGGATTTATTTTAATTATGGTTGAACCTTCCTTTAATAACCACGGTCCTTGAAGCATGTTATAGTTCAAAGTTTGAGTATTAATATAGATTTCCTTTTTAAAATTCATAATCATCATACCATTAAAACTGGCTGTCTGTAGAATTCATGTCTCCCCCAAAGAATATACAAAATCCAAATTTGCCAGAATCTTCAGATAACGATTATGCTTTTTCTAATGTTTCTTTATTCTAGAATCCTTGGATGAGCTGACTTGCTTAGTAGTAAAGTTATTTTCAGAAGTAGAGAATAAAAATGTTCCTATACCAGAGTTTCCTGAACATCCTTTCCAAGAAGAACATCTCCGGGTACGTACAGAGATACATCTTCCATCAGGATTGTATATCTTAAATGATATTTTTTCATGTTTCAGTAGTGCACTGTGCACTTCATTACTTTCTTATCAATGTCCCTGTTAAGTTCCATATTTATTTCTTAATTTTCCACCTACCTTTCTTTCCATGCTGAGTACAGTATTATGTAGTTTATAGTAAAGGTTGTATATTTGGTTGCAGCTGTAAATAAGTGAGATAAGTCTTTTTTTGTGTTTGCATTGTGAATGACTGAAGTGTTGCCCTAAGTTTTACTTTCCAGATTTTGTTGATATGTTTGTAATAAGATATCTGTGCATGTGTGAAGGGAACATATGTGCTCCTGAGATGAATAAAATAATGACAGTTCCCTTTTGTTTATGGATCTCCTTGTTTATTTCCCCCTCAGCAACTTTACAAAGTGGTACCCATTAAGGACATTAGAAATCTTTATGTCACATTTCCTATACCAGACCTTCAGAAGTACTATAAATCAAACCCTGGCCATTACCTTGGTCATCTGATTGGGCATGAAGGCCCAGGGAGTCTTTTATCAGAGCTTAAAGCCAAAGGTAAGTCCTTTGAAGGTAAAGAATTAAAAATTAATTTATTAAACATTTTTTTGAAGCTACAAGTCACTTAAAACTGACTTCCCTATGTTAAATTTAAAGCTTCCAACTGTTTGAGTAGTTTGGGTTGTAGGTAGTTTTGCGCTATATTTTTGTGCTGTGGTGGGTAAGAATAAATAACAGGCACTCTTGACTACTGTAGCTATTATTTCTTGCACTCTTCTTTATCTGGCCTTATTTACAGGGTTATATGAACTTCGTCATAATGGTCTTGGCCCTATTCTGTCACTGACTTAGAGAATACTCTCAGGTCCCTTAATATCTGGAAAAGAAGAGTATACCTTTCACTATTTATCTGATATGAATATCACTTCATATTACTGTTTGCAACTAGAAATAAATTACCCAGTAATCTTGAGTTTGTCATGTCACTCTGAGCAGAAAATCAGATAGGTGACTTGTATTATGTTTAACTTGCATCGTTGCTGTAGGAGTTAAGGAAGAGGAGAATGTGTAAAGTAGTCAAAATGTAAAAAGAAAAAAAAAATGTAGCCTATATTGTTACAGATTTCTTTATGTAATATATTTTCTTTTTTATTTCGTAGGATGGGTAAATACTCTTGTTGGAGGACAGAAGGAAGGTGCTAGAGGTTTCATGTTTTTCATCATTAATGTGGACTTAACAGAAGAAGGACTTTGTAAGTGAAGCACTGTCAGCCTTCCTTGTTATTCCTGAACTGATGGGTTTGTGTTTGTATCCAAAGAGACTTAATTGTGTTTATAGGTTAAAAGACAACTTATTTTAATTAACTGGTTGTTACTCTGTGTTTAGATCTCTGAGTATGCTAGCATGCTTCATCTAACATAAGAAACCAACTTAGTTGAGGTTATATTAAAGTATTTCATTAAATATTTCAAAGTAAATTTGTTTAAAAGAAAAGCTGTTAATACCTGTGTGTGCTACTTATTCATGCTAGTTAGACCTGAGTTAAATTATATTATAAATCAGTATCTTAACATAAGACATGTTTACTACAGTTTTCAGAATTAGCTGGGAACAAGTGTATGTCTGAGGAAAAAATGTTTAACTTTGTCAGTGGGATCACATATGTACTTGAGTATCTTGATATGTTGAGATGTAATTAAAAATACAAGCTTGCATGTTTGTGTTCATCAGAATTTTTTCTTTGTGCAGAACTGAGTGAATTATTAAGCAAGTCTTTTTCTTTCCAGTGCATGTTGAAGATATAATTTTGCACATGTTTCAATATATTCAAAAGCTACGTACAGAAGGACCTCAGGAATGGGTTTTCCAAGAGTGCAAGGTAGAGTGATTGGTACTTGAAATATGCGTTTGTATTTTTAGAGTTTTGGATTATAAGTATTAACAGATTCCTTGGCTGTGGAAATAATCCTTAATAATTGTATGGTAAAGTTTATTAATTTTAGAGGTGCAACATGACACAAATGACAAGTACATTCAGAACATATTGTCTCAATGTAGTTGTGGAATGCTCTTATGGAGCCGTGAGCTGATGTTTTATGATAGCATAGTGGAGGCAGAGAAAGAAAAATCTTAATCTGTCCACAGGGACTCTACATAACCTTCCTTAGTCTTCACTGAAGGTGGAGAGGGAGAAACATTTGCTGTGGAGGGTAAGACTGAACTGGAAATTGAAATAGCTGTTGTTCTACCCATCTTCTTTCACGTGTCAAATCATATAGTTGAGACTGTAAAGGCAGTAGGACATCAATCTGCTCTTTGTTCTCTCACCTTTTTGAGAGGTGAATTAAAACTTTTCATGGAATACTTTGACTGTACACTTCAGTCTTTGCAGAACTGTTCACGCTTCTTTTGAGTCTGTGTGGTTCTGTGTGCACAGAGCAAAACATGTAAAGTATCCTATTACTACACTCCTCAATGACTGTAAAAGTGTCATTTTTGCGTATAGACTTGTTGGTTCACTACAAATACTTGGTTAAAGAGTTCTTGTTCCGTCTTAGCTTTATTTGGTGAAAACTGTTGGGTATGTTCCAAGCGCAGGAATTCTGCAGATTCATTAACTCTTCTTGCATTTTGACACTGTATACCTGTAAAAGAAGTCTCATTACCCTCTGCTAAAAGTCCTAAAGGAATTTTTTCACTGCCATTGTAAGCAAATACAGAATTTTAAAGAGGTAGTTCCATCCTCCTATCTCATCGCTGTGTTTTTCCCTTGCTCCTCTTGTAACAATCCAGATATTCCTGAGGCTGTGAGGTGAGTCAGCAAAAGCTAGCAAACCAGTTGGAAAATAACCTTTTGAATTTATTTTCAGCTGAATTGTTGAATGAGTGAGTTTCACAGCATGGTTTCAGAGGAGGATGGACTGTCCTTTTCGTTTGCATTATAGTCCTAGATCTCTTTAATTCACTCTTGCCATTGAATTCTGAGAATGATGTGTTCTAATTCTGTGGCTAAGACAGCATAAAGAAACACATTTCTGTCTCTAAATGTACCTCTCGGTTGGCTGACAAAAGGAACAAAAGAGGGAAAGGCTTCAATTCATTAACATAACAGTCATTGCACTGGAACGCTATGCATTGGTTGTATCAAAATCGGTGTGTTTTCAAATTATCGGGGAATTTAAATATCTGAGCTTTGAGACAGATCTCTACTATGAACAGGATGTACAGGACTTGTATAGCACTTCACATTGTTTCTGAGTATTGTGCAACTTGAATATTACTGAGAACTTTTGTGTTAGATACCTGATTGCTGTAAAATGGCTACAACAAAACTCTTTTTTTTTTTTTACTTTATAAAAAGCAATTAAGTGCCAATAATTATTCTTAAAATCATCCTTAGTATACACTTTTCAACCATTTCCTACATTGTTTCCTAGGATCTAAATGCTGTGGCATTCAGGTTTAAAGATAAGGAACGACCACGAGGTTATACATCAAAGCTTGGAGGAATGTTGCATGTAAGTGATTGTTTTTTGGTGTTTGTTTACAATACAGTAATCATCTAGTGCTATGTTTGATTATACTTCTAGTAAATACAGGTGTTTGCAAAGGTCCCATGTACTCCTGGAGCTTAGGAAGTTAATATTATGCTGCACAAATCTTAGTTTTCGCAGTCAGTAAGTGAGATTTCCTTCAGTCTTTACTATTTTATACTTCTGTGATTGGTGGAACTGATTTTACAGTAACTGGAGTTGCCATTTGATCTGCGTCAGTGTTTCTTAAGACACGTGCCATGTCATTCCGTGTCTACATCTAAATGTTCCCTAGGGAAACATCTAAATGTTCCCTAGGGAAATATTAGAAAACTAAGATTTTATCATCAGTACAACCACTATGTTTCTAAATGTTTCTATAGTTAACAATGTTGAAATACTGCAGTAAGCATAAACATTCATTTTAAGAGGAAATTAGAAATGTTTGACTCTTACTAATGTGATCATGTACTGGTACTGAAAGAATCATGTACCTTATACTTAATTTTTATACTTCTTGCAAAATTCAGTTCCCTCATTTTGCACTAAAGGAAGACTTAAGCAGGGTTTTTTTGTCTAGTTAAATTCTTACTTCTGTGCATTGCAGCCATTCTTCATTGCACAGCTAATGTCTACATCTACTCAGAGGCATTTTTGATTTTTTGGCCGGAATTCCTGTTAATGCTCCTACACCTTTAATATGTAAAGTCTAAAATAACAATCTTAAACTTTGATATTGTCTTGGTGTTTACTAAAAAGCATTAGACAACTGAAATAATTTAAACGGGTATTTAAAGGAGCTCCTGTTTGTCTCTTGCTTTTGTTGTCAAATACATAAAATCTCTTTAACAAATGGACTTCTGAAACAGTCTTTCAGTGGTCTGTATTTGTTGGATCATTCCCGATTACAACTGCTGTCTCCAAAAATCAGGCCAGGAAGTTGCCAGCAGTGTTCTAAAGAGCAGGGTATTGATTCAGGAGCTTTTTTTTCCACTGCTTTTTGTTTGCTGTGCTTTTCAGTGTGAATAGTAATTCTGATTCTGCTGTTAGTTGCTTAAACACTAATGGAAAAAGAACTTTTCTAGTTCTCTTTATTGCCTCAAAATCATACTAAGTCTATACTTAGAAGTAATTGAGCTAGAATTATTGTTTGGTGATTTCTTGCACTTATGAATATCACTGTTTTTCATAACTTGGACATGTGTGTAAGTTAGCATGAGTAAACGTAATGTCATAGATTGTTATGTATTTACCAAAAAGCTTTACAAAAACTTTTTACTCGACAAAGCAGAAGTTAATATTTAAAACACTTTTGTGCTGGTCTAAGGAGTTGCCACAAAGGCCTTGCTGTCAAATTGTATTTCATATTTGTCACGTGTAGGCTTGATGCTTTCCAGGTAATTGTTTCCTGTGCTCTTTCTTTTGTTGTGTTTTGTCTCCTTAGTTGTATTATTTTAAAAATCTTATTTCAATCTGATTGTCGTATCTAGATGGATTTAGTCTGTTTTGGTTTATTTACATTATGCTCTGACCTTGCTGAAAAGTAATCACAGAATAGTTGAGACTGGGCCTCTGGAGGTTACCTTGTCCAATCCTCTTGCTCATACAATGCAGAAATAAAGTAACCAAAGAAAATTTATGTTCAATTCCACTTGGTGAGCAGACAGTGGCATGTGTCTCTAAAAGAAATAAACTGTAGATTTCAGGTCTCTAAATCTGTATTGTCCTGATAATTTCAGATCAGAAGAGCATTAGAAGAGATGACTTAACATCTCCCCTTCAAGTTGCTTAGTCTGCTTAGCTGTTTATGCAGAATGTAGTTAAATTTGAATTCATCAGTGTACAATTAATCTTTTAGGATAAACCTTTCAAATTCTGGATTTTTAACATTCACATTTGAATTTTTTGTAACACAGGTTTGGTACATTGCCCTTCGTCTCCACACCTTCCCCCAGCCCTTTCTCTTTTCCAGAATCTTTTGTGTGTTATATTGTGTTCTGGAAGTCGTTCCACTGTAGTTGTTTGTATAATGTATGTAATTCAGAAAGCCATTTTATAATAATTCTGGTCAAAAGTACAACTGTATGGCAAACTGCAGGTACTCAGTGCTTATGTCATCTAGTGGTTTTCCCATGCTAAACATTTATCAATGAAGTTTTCCTATCAGTTATATTAAGAATTTTTGGAGGAACTTCGAACTGTTTTTTTTTTCTTCTTGAATTGTGACTTACTGTAAGAGATTCACAGTTTGATCCTAAAAAACCCCACTAGAATTATGTATATCTAAATTTGCGTTATGCTGTCAGATAACTGAAATATACTTTCCTTTCAATTACTGTAAACAAAATTTTGAATTCTTAGAGAACGCTAAAAAAAACCCTTAGTGGTTTGTTGGTTCTGTTTTTGTGGTGGGTTTTGTTTTTTTATAATGGTGATGGGTTTTGTTTATTTGTTTTGTTTGCAGTTTGGTTTATTGTTTTGTTTGTTCTGTTTTGGTTATGTTTCATTTTTCCCAAATGCACGTTAATGAGTACTTTGTGTTTTGGTATCTTTGAAAGTATCCTCCAGGGGTCAGCATTCGCCATGTTCTTTTTACTTCAGTTATTTCAAAACAGTGTTTAAAGGTGGGTGACTTCTTATATTGGGACATAAAATATTTCAAGAGAATGGTAATATGTGGTACATAAAATTACCTAATAGAGGAGAAATGATTGTGTAGTTTCACTACTTCTTCATCTTGTTTAGTTTTAAAAGAAAGATTTTAAGACATCTATACACTTATAAATTTAAATGACAATGCTAATACAGATTTTGTGACCAGAAACATACACTTTTATTTCCTTTACAAAACAGTATTTCTTTCATGCTTAGTTTTTGTTTAATTCATTTACATGCTTCTGGGCTTATTTATATATTTATTTTTTTTTAGTATTACCCTATAGAAGAAGTATTAGCTGCTGAATATTTGCTCGAAGAATTTAGGCCTGATTTAATAGAGATGGTACTGGATAAACTGAGACCAGAAAATGTTAGGTAAGTGAAACTGCAGTAACTTGTATTTTAAACCAAACATTGTAAGAAAGCATATGAACTAATGGAAACACAAGTTCTTAGGTGTTTCTTACAACTCCAAAGTAAATGTTGCTGAAAAAGCTGCTTGTTCTGTGTGTTAATATCTCTGCTCCCCATTGAAAATAAACACTGTAATAAGAGTGCATGCAGTTCTTCCTGTTCGGACAGAAATGTCCTTTCAGTCCTTTCTGTTCAGCATGTCTTCCCCAGACTAGTAGGCAGACTGAAGATAAGGGAAGATTATGTCAGGCTTAGCAAGGATATACAATTGAGAGTCATGGAAATGGGGCAAACTTAAGAAACAAAGAGAAGGTTTGAGTCAAAGAGCCTGTGGTAGGACAGGAGCAGAACTGATGGGACCAAACCTGAGGGAGATAAGCAGCAAAACTTCTGCAGGCTTTACTGCATTAAAGCCTACAAAGGGCAAAGAAATGAAAGTTTACCATCCTATCTGTGAAAATAATGTCTCTTGGGATATTTTAAAATATGAAATCAGTTCCTGTAACACAGAGTATTGTGTGAGAGACATTTTTGTAATTGTTCATTTAGAAAAAGAGGTGGATATTGGAAAGAGAGGTCAGGTCACGCACTCAGCTAAATGTGTAAAATATTGAATAACTGTTTCTTAATTGTTCTGTGCACTGAACCAGGCAGAGATTGAGTAGGACAGTATGTAAATTGGTGTGTGTTTATATTTGCATGTATAATGTGGCACAGTCAGTTACTAGAAGGTTGCATGGGTAACAGTTATACTAGTACTTTCTGGCCTGATTTTTTTTTTTTTTTCCTGCCACTTGGTTCTTTTAATGTATCTTTTTTGTATATTGTAATATTAAATTAGTGGCATTGAGAGATTATTAAAATGGATGAAAACACAGAAACAAGCTCTTACTTGTGATTCTCTGTCAGTCTTGCTGTATCTGAAGACAGCATGTTGTAAGCCAGGTATATGATACAAAAAAATAATAATTTTGGGGGGTGTGTCTTTTTCTGCATGTGTTCCAAACTGAAGTATTCAGTCAGTGTCGGTTACAGAAAGACAGTGAGGCATGCATTCATATACTTGTGGAGTTTATATATTTCAGCCTTCTGAAATTACTGTGAATTACTTAAAAGTTTGGGCATGAATCTTCACTGTGTTTGCACGGCAAGATCTGTTTGTATATTCATTTGATTTAAGATGCATGATACTTCATTTTCAAACGATGGTATATTTCCAATACTGGATAAAGTAGGATAAAATTGGAACTGTATTTATAAATGTCATGTGGTTCTGGTGTTTCTATGGGTATACAAGTAATGATAAATTAAGTGAACCTGCCTATGTCAGTCACAGTAGTTGCCATAGTAATTAATGCCCTTTAAAGAAGAGCCTATATCTTTGTGTGTGGGTGTGCATCTCATGTGTAATGTGTGTGGGATACTGCAGCTGAAGCTTGACTATTTCCAGACCATATTTTGAACAAACACTACTTTAAAAAAAATTCCAGATTCTCTTTCCTTTTGTATTACATACGTCTATTTTGAATGCATTTTCATGTTCAAGGCCAGGTTGCACGAGGCCTTGGGTGATATGGTTTAGTGCGAGGTGTCCCTGCCCATGGCAGGGGGGTTGGAACTTGATGATCTTAAGGTCCTTTCCAACCGTAACTATTCTACGATTCTATTTTGATCTACTCCCCAGCTTCCTGGAAATTTGGTACAAGAGCTTACCTCTAACGCAAAGGCTGGTTTTAGTAACTAAAGAGAGAATATATAATTACTTCTTCTCTGAAGAAAGCTTAACCTAATTCCACATAAATTTGAACTTGTAACTGGTTTTATAATTGCTCACAAGATATATGTAAACCATTTTTTAAATCCTGATTTAATCCTGATTTTAATACTGATTTAGTAAACAAGCTACAGGTGCTTTATCAGCTGTGATGTGTATTACAGCTTCACGTAAAATGTGGCTCTTAACTTTGCAAGAAAACAGTCAATATTGACTTAGGGAAGAATACCTTTCATAATTAAATCTGGTCTTTGTTATTAGCCAGAGAACTTCCAAAGCATCTGGTCGCTTAAGTTTTCAAAAATTGCTAGAGGAAATTAATGTATGCAAATACATTTATATACTCTTTAAGGTTATCAGAAGCTGCTGGATGTCACAGACATCAGGTTTCTGTTACTTCTGTTGCTGGCTTTGCCAGCCTTTTCACCCTCCCTTCCAGCTGACAGCACTTGAGCATAAAGTAGCCATAATTAACCTTGTTCAAAAGTTATTAGTGTGACAAAGGAAAGTGTAGAGAATGCAGGCAGAGGGAGAAGATTCAGGTCTACACGATGTGGTCGGAAGCACAGGAACAGCTGTGACATGTTTTAGAAAAGTAGTATGCTACATGCTGTGGTTTTTTTTTCAAATATGTAGTTTCATAATGTTCTTTAGTTAATATAAGCCGATATTTTCACTTGCAGTTGCAGTCTTGCATTCCTCTTTGTCCTTGATTAAAAAAAAAGTGGGGTGAGGGGGAAGAGTAAGATGAGCAAGAATGTTATCAGAGAGAGAGAGGAAAAAATATATGGAATTTAGCTGTTACTTGAAACACTAGTAACCAAAGAAAGTAATTGTTTACTATTATATGTATCTTTATTTCTAGTTATTTTGTAGGGTTACATCAGTTTTGTCTCATTTGTCAAAGTGACTTGATGGGAATATATTTAAGCTTGGTAGTTGTGGATTAATTTTAAATAAAATGATTTTTTTCAAGATGGGACACATCTAGAGCAAATGCCAACTGAAGATGATCAACTTTAGTATTTGAACTGGGAAGCATTGATCTTTCAGATAATGGAGATAGTGTTTTCATCGTAGCTTTTCAAATTTAACCTGTATGTGACTTTTTAAATAGCAAAGTGTAGTGCGTTTAGACTGGAGAGGCGTAGTGGGGGGGGTGTTTTGGAGGTTAGTTTGATAGAATAGGTATGCTTTTCTATACAGGAAGGCTTCAAAGTTTTCATAATGGAAGAGTGGTGGTGGTTTGGTTACTGAATAAAGCATATCGTCAGAGAGGGATGATCAGTTAGCAACTTCTGTGTATGTGGGTTTCCATGTATTCTTGGGCTTTAAATGTCTTGGGTCTCACCGTGCTTTCTTCTAGCTTGTTGTTACTGTGCTTTCGTTCTGGCTGCTCAAGAAATGTGTTTAATCTTCCCTCAGGACTAACTACATTGCCTCTTCACCTTAGCTGGCATAAAAACCAGATTATAACGATTATGTAGCTTTAGGCATTTGAATTGAGAAAGCTAAATATTGGGGTATAAAGAGACTTCCGAAACTGGAATATGTCTGGTTTTATGGGCTCTTCAGTGTATTGTTAAAGAAATTGTAGCTTCCTTTTGTTGCATAGATTTTAGTAGGGCTTAAAGATAGTAAGTATGAGCAGGTTAGTTCTCTGAAGCTTAAATAGCCACAGCTATGCCTACAGCTGTCCTGTTAAAGCTTAAATATAAATACATACAAACTAGAGAGGAACCAAAGACTGATTAAATGCAGTTTGAACAGTGGAATTCAGCAAAGTACTGATACTGTAACATGGATTGAATGAGGCCTGCAGGAGGCCTGTAATGATGTAACAGCAGGCATACTCTGAGTTTGAATGGTATATGGTCAGACTAATGATAAATGTATTATAATGTGTAGACTAAAACCGTGCCAGTGTTTGCTATTGCCATAACAACTATACATTTACATCTTGGTTCTCTTTTTGTTCAGATTAATTTTCTTCTCCAAAACTATAGCAAAATAAACCCAAATAAATAATCAGAATTTAAGATTGTGCCACGTTGCTTTTTCCTATTTCTCTAAATGATACATTTTTTCAGTGTACGCTCACAAATTATAGCTGTGTTTCTGTGTATCTTCTATGATAATAATGCAAGCTGTTTTTTCTCAGGTATAAAAGTCTTAAGTCCTTTCAATTTTAGTGGGAATTAAGTGTTTATATTCAGGGCATTAGGTGTTTAAAGATCTGAACTAATTAGGCTTTTTTCATATGATTAAAGCAAAATACTAACTTATATTTAGTACTGTATTCCTTCTAGACACATTTTAAGCACTTTGAATTTAAAAGTAGAATGAAATGAACTAGGATTTTTTTTATCTTAAAATACTGCAGAGTGTAGTAAAATACAACAAGAGATATAGTTTTAGAGTATCTTTTATTTTAAATTGCTGTCAAGGTAAAATATCTTGGGGGAGCAAAAACCCCAGCAATGTTAAATATTACTGAAAGTGTTATCATCCATGAGGATGATCAGGGGACTAGAGCACCTCCCATATGAAGATAGGCTGAGAAAGTTGGGGCTGTTAAGCCTGGAGAAGGGAAGGCTGCGTGGAGACCTCATAGCAGCCTTCCAGTATCTGAAGGGGGCATATAGGGATGCTGGGAATGGACTCTTCATTAGGGACTGTAGTGATAGGACAAGGGGTTAACGGGTTAAAACTTAAACAGGGGGAGTTTAGATTGGATGTAAGGAGGAAGTTCTTTACTGTGAGGGTGCTGAGGCACTGCAATGGGTTGCCAGGGGAGGTTGTGAATGCTCTATCCCTGACACTGTTCAAGGCCAGGTTGGAGAGAGCCTTGGGTGACATGGTTTGGTGGGAGATGTCCCTGCCCATGGCAAGGAGGGGTATTGGAACTAGATGATCTTAAGGTCCTTTCCAACCCTAACTGTTCTATGATTCTGTGATTCCATGGTATGATACAAAGATTCAAGGCTCTTCTGAAAGAATGAGTTGGGATTATAAATGCTAATAAAAAGATCCCCTTGTGGTTTACTTTTTTACTTACATCTGTATCTGTGTGCATCTAACAATCCAGTAGGTTGTTTTCTTCTTTTGTCTTTGAGCGAATTCTACAGACTAATAAAATACTGTGGACATGTGCTTTTAAATATCTATGTGTGTTCTGGTTACCCACCATTTACTGATACTTATGTTCATATTCGCCTTTCTATTCTCCCTTTTAATGAAAGAGTTCATATGTGCCACATCATTTCAACTTTGCTGTTGCTATTTATCTGTTTTGTTTGGTGGGGGTTTTGTCCCTTTTGTTTTGTTTTTCTTTTTATGCCTTGTGTAATTTGTTTCTTACAATGGCCCCATCCCCCATCCATGGAAGTATTCAAGGCCAGGTAGGAGGGGGCTTTGAGCAACCTGGTCTAGGGGTGGATTTCCCTTCCCATGGCAGGAGGGTTGGAAATAAATGATTTTTAAGGCCCTTTTTAAGGCCCTTTCCAACCCAAACCACAGTAGGATTCAATGATTTTGAATTTTTCTTTTGTATAATGGTTTTATTTGTAATTGCTTATATATCTATATTGGGGTAGCTGCATTCACAGTGAGAGGCTTCTGTTCAATGTCTTTTTAAAAAGTTTAGCTTTTCAACTGTTTTTTTCTTAACAAACTATCTTTATTGAAAGTATGGAAAAATATCCATATTCCCAGATGGTAGCGAGTATCCATATGTGCTTCTATTTGACTGAACCATAACAGGAAATTTTGATATTCTTCTCCCCCCTCCCACCCCCAAACGCTACTTGTTGCATTTAGTGGCTTAATTTCCCTAAGAGAGAAACCTTTTTAAGATGTGAGTATCATTTTTACTTGTTCAAACTGTGCTGGGTTTTGCCAACCATCTGTGAAGATAAGGGAATGGACTTGGCACGTGTTGCAATCTTAGCTGAAAAATGCAATTTCCAATAATCCCCCCCCCCCCCCATCTGCAGAATAAATGCTCTTATTAAAATTTAAGAATCTAGTGATTCATCAAATTAAGCAACCAAAGAATATTTTCCCCTGGATAGTAAATGGACTTCTTTCCTCTCTTGGAATCTGATGTGCATCACTAGTACTATCCTAGAGGGAAGAAAAATAAAATGAATGCCAGAAACATTGATACAGAAATTTCTGAAGGCTGGAATTTCACAGATACTGAGCAAACAGTTATTTCAATGCAGCTGCTGATGCTCATCTCTGATGAAAAGAATGTTACAATTTTGGAATGTATGTATTTATTTTTAATTGCATTGTATCTGAGTAAAGACGTTGAAAATCACAATTTGTTCACTTATTTTCACCCTCATAAACTGTTGTGTTTGTAGAGACTTAGTTTGATTGAACTCTTAAGAAGTAATTTGTGCTTCTGAAGGATGATTGGAATGCTACACCCCAGCAACATCTCTCTCTGCATGTAGTTTCCCCTCTTATTCTGTTTCCTAATAAGAATTGTGTGGAACTGGCTTCATATAGCCTATATTGCCTCGCATCAGTTTTACTGATCATTTTGGGGGAAGTTATATATAAAGCTAGACTTTTGTTGGTTTTGTCTCGATCATTTTATTCATTTGAATAGATATGTGTAATTTTTTCACTTGTTTGACAATATCATGTTTTGGAAGACAAAGTTTAAATTAGTTAAAGCCAACAATTGTTCCTTCTTAAGTATAAATTTTTTTTTTTTTTTGCAACAAATTTGCTTTGTCATGTCTGTTACTAGTATCACAAATACTGTGGTCTCAAAACTTATTACTTCTTCACCCTTTGAAGCTTGAGTTTTGTTATGTAAATGTAGAATATAATAGTTTATTATCTTTCCTGGAAGTACATTGATTTTAAAGCACAGGTTCTCTTCCCAAGTAACACCCTTCTGTGGATCTGTGACTTGTAGCTTCATTTTAGACTTCAGGAAGATGATAAATAAATAAATAAATTGGCTCTAGTAAATAGGTATCGCATCACAGAAATTGTGCTTCTTTTTTGAAAATTGACCGTAACTGAGGACTGAAACAGTTTGCATGTACAAGAATATATACACAGCAATAAATTGCATTTATAGTTCCAGCTGTATTCTGTGTTCATGAATGGCTCAGAAGTTGAACTGCACTGGTTGAATTTAAATATGTTTTAAGCAGATCATGATAATTTGCCTGATTGCTTGTCTTACTTTTCCAGTGCGTTTCAATTCTGTCTTAAACCATATGGATATTCATAGTGCTGCACAGCACAGAAATGAAAAGCAGAAGCAACATTACATAACTGGGAATTTTAAATATGCATTACAATACATTTAAGTAACTGCATAACACTGTATATCTACCTGTGGTGCTTCTTTTCCCCTCTTCTTTTCCTGTCCTGGTCTTCATTGCTCTTGGTGCTTGTATCATGGTTTAGGTTGTAAGTCTCGGGCAGAATGAATGTCTTGTAGTCTGTTTCATGTTGCTGTATGTTTCCAGGAGTTCAAAATGTAAGTTACCATTCCAGTGGTGAGTTTAGAGCGGGCAGGAGTATCTCTTGAAGCAGAACTGCTTGAAGAATTGCTGTTTTCCACAATTTCATTTTGTATATGTTGAGCAGACAGAATTATTTTTAGCTATTTAATTTTGGTATGCTCCTGTAGCAACTGTTTGGGTGCTTGGATTGTCAATACTGCTTGAGCATTGGTACATTGGAGAGGGTAGAAGGAGGGATATCCAATAACAGAAGATAACAGACCTTTTTATATTATACTATAAAACACCTTTCTCTTGCTCTCAAACTGCGTGATTATTGGAATTTCATCAGGATAATAATTTTGTTTGGCTTTTTTTCCCTTCTTTTTCTATTTTTTTCTAATTTATTTTTTATTTAATGCATGAAAAGGCCTGATAGTTGGCTCTGAAATTCTAATAATTTTATGGTTTTTATAGTCTCTTAGCAACTTCACCTGTACATGATAAAGCTTTTGCTCACCACCTATCTTGAGTTAAAATGCAAAACAATAGAATACTGCTATGACTCATTTTAATGCAAAGAACAATCTGTAATAGATTCTCCCTTGTTGACCAAGCTAGTGTCTGCTGTGTTGCAAGAATAAATATTCTTTAGCATTAAAGTGCTCAGTTCATAGTTAAATATTTATTTAGTATTGTTTATTTTATATAAAAAATGAAATAGATGTAACAGGCAAACAGGTATGAAACTATTTTATAAGAAGTCACAATAAAAATGTTAACCATTTCTATTGCCATTTGCAGTGAGACATGAAATAATATATCTCTTCAAGTTTACTATTCTCATGCTGGTTTGAATATTGGATAACTTTTGCAGTGGAGCAGGGTTGTTTTGTGTATGTGTGTTCATGCTACGTGTGGTTCTGTCAAGGCTGGGGAGTAAAAATTTCTTCCGCAACCCAGAGGAAATCTGCATCCCTCAACCATGAGATTTGATTGCCCCTCTTTGGTGTGTATGATTTAAAATACTGTCTCAAAGTGTGGTCAAATCCTGCTTCAGTTTTTGAATCTTGCTTGAGAATGTATCTTTACAGTTCGATGTGACTGAGATGCACTTGTAATTTGTTTAAATGTGTCTAATGCTAGCAATTCACCCCACTGTTCTCCTGCTATTCGAAATACAATGCACAGATCAAATTATTAATAATTTGAAAATATTCATAATAGGACAATCGAGAACCGAATATAGCAGAATCCTGGGGTTTTTTCAGCCTTCTTGGATCTTTTAGTCATTTATGTGTAAACATTAGATGAAAAAGGAGGGATAAGGACATAAGCATCTAAAATATTAATAGTCCACTTATTTAATTTTGGTATTTTTAAAATATATTCAAAAATTCATCCCAAGGGTATTCTCCAGTAATGTATTTGTAAAGTAAAAGACTATAGTTTGAGGCATGTCCATATGGCTGTTTTGATTAAAGCCCCACTTTGCCATGCACATTAGAAATACAAAACAGAATGTTCCTGGCCTGAAGATACTGTATTAAAAAAGAACACTTAAAATGCGTATATCTTGATGTTTCAATGTGCATTGTAGCCATCTGCACAAGATTTGACAGAGTTCATTGCTGGGCTATTCAGCATCCAGGGATTGTTAAATACATGCAGGAGGTAATAGTGCTACCTTTTTTGACCATTTCAAAATTCTTGTAGACATCTGTTTATTCGTAGAGCTAGCTACTTATTTCCATTGAATACTCTTTCATCTTGTAGGGTGTTAAAAAGAATTAAAGGAGTTTTCTTGATACCTATTATGAAGACTACTGAAAAAATACTGTGACTTTTGTAACTTTCTTTATTCTGGATTTCCTCTTATTTAGATGTATTCTTTAGTTCCAGGAGCACCTTGACAATACTCTTAGTTATATGGTTTAGTTTTAGGCAGTCCTGCAAGAAGCAGGGAATTGAACTTGGAAGATCCTTATGGGTCCTTTCCAACTTAAGATAGTCTATGATTCTATGATTGAGGTTTCTGATTGATTATAGTTCTGTTGTATTGGCTGTAAAAGATGTTAATCTTCCTGCTTTTCTTCCCTTCTCCTTAAAAAGCCCCAAATCAACAACAGAAAAAAAAAGGGGTGGGTGGGAAAGAAACAGGTATCAATCTGAAATGAGCATGTATACAAAATGAAGGAACTTTTACTATCAGATTATGAAAGCAAGAGTGAAACTGCAGTAACATAATCTAAAACACTAGGTCTGGAATAAAATTTCTGTAGTTAGTATTTTCACATACCTGAGTGTTGATGTAAGTTGTATGAAAAATGTAGTCACTTCAGTAATTCCATAGAAGATCTCAAGTGCTGCTTTCTGTGTTTTCTGGAAAAATGACAAAATCTAAAATATCGAAATTGAGTGCAACAAAGATTGTATGTAACTTTAGGATGTAGCACATTAGAAAATCGGTAAAATTAAATGATGCAAATAATCTGATTTCATGGTTAACCTTATTGTGTAGTTCAATATATGTATGCTTGCTGTCCAGATAAACTCTGTAATTGTTCAGGGACCATTTCCAGAAATCAGTGCTTTCTAGTGATGGAACAGTGTGAATAATTTCTCACAATCTTTTCTCAGACACATTCATGCCAAAGTGCTTTGTCTCTCTGTTTTCAGAGTTGCAATAGTTTCCAAGTCTTTTGAAGGAAAAACTGATCGAACAGAAGACTGGTATGGAACACAGTACAAGCAAGAAGCAATTTCTGATGAAGTTATTAAGGCATGTTAAAACTTATAATATATTCTAATCTCTGCAAGCAAAAGACAGTGGTAAATTCTTTGTCAGATTTTCCATTTAGTTGAAGGAAGACTTTAAATTTGCTGCTGCACATAGCATGAAAATCGTACAATGAGACTTTTGAATATTATGAAAAGTAAAGATTTTATTTTAGTCTTCAGATTTCAAATATTTATTACACAAAACATATATTTTAATGGTCAAGTGAAGGGAATAGTTATGCCGTTTTTCCTAGAAAAGATGCAAAATATGCAGTGTCTTCTTAAAAATATAATCATTAACTTTTCAAAGTTGAAGTCTCCATGAAATGGTAATGAGCTAATCTGTTCTTAAGAAAGAAATCTTTTTACAACTGCTATATGTAACTGTGTTTCTGAAACTGATTTTTGCAATTTAGAAAATGAGTATATTTTGCAATTAAAGGAGCTTCTAAAAATCAAAACTACAGCAAAGGAGATAGACAATACTTATTGAAACTTGTTATTGATCTATTCTTCTAAGAAGAGATGGCTTAAAATACACCTTAGAGCAAAACTGGACCTGCTGAGCATGCTTTGAAAGACATTGCTCAGGAACACTTCATTTCCTTTAGTTTATACGTATCTATGTTCCTGAGTAGAATTCTTGCTTATGTATTTAGTTTAATACTTTAGAGTTCACAGTAGCAGAAAAGGTAAGACATTGACCTTCCACTCTACTGTAAACTTTTCAAAATTAGTTTTTATCTTTTTGTCTTCCTCCTTGGAGCACTTCATGCTGCTGATAGCTTACTCCAACTTGGTTTGCCCAGATATCTCTCTCTTTTCCTATTATCTTCATTTCCCTATTATCTTAATGGTATTTTACACATAAGCTAGTGGAACACATTTTTAAAACTTTTGTTACAGTATAAAAGAAATGTCTATAACCATTGATTAAGCAGACATTCTCCTTAGCCTCCTTATTTCTCCTGTTTGTCTAGAAATGGCAAAATGCGGACTTGAATGGGAAATTCAAGCTTCCAATGAAGAACGAATTCATTCCTACTAACTTTGAGATTTTGCCCTTGGAAAAAGATGCGACGCAATACCCTGCCCTTGTAAAGGTAAGCCATTTGTGTGTGCTAGCTAACCTTCTGGGAAGATCGTAGTTAATTCCTGTGTGTATTTTTAAATACAGATCTGTCATATTCTAAAGTATAATGACAAAAATGCACAAAATTTAAAGATATTCCTAGAAAGACAGTAGAAAGTTCATTGTTACTGAACTCTGGATTATGACTGTTTGGGTTCCCACAAAAAAGAATCTACAAAAAGCTTGAACTCTCTTTGCCCTTTTGAAAGTGTGTTAAGAATTGATAGAAATAGCATTAAAGCTGTTTACTCAGCAGAAGGGTGACTGCTACTCATATTTTTTTGAGCCATGTTCAGTAAGTCAAGGGTGTAGACAAGGCTATTTTTTTGTAACTGTGTATGGGTAAAGCTTGTGATTGCATGGAAAAAAGGAGAGAGATAAAAGCATGTAAATAAACATCATTCTCCAGTCTTCTGGAAACAACATTTAATGATCTCAGTGCATTTAGCAAATCTTAATTTTCCAAGTACCTAAAATTTACTAAAAGGTATTGTTCACTGCTGTCATGGTTTAAATCCAACCAGACAGCTTGTGCACTCACTCCCCCCCCCCCCTTTCTTCCCCTTTCCCTACTCCCGGAGGGACAGAGAGGAGACTCAGAAAGAATGCAACTCCCACAGGTTGAGATAAGAACAGTTTAGTAACTAAGGTATAACACAAATCACTACTGCTACCACCAATAAAAATGATGATAAAGGAAATAACAAGGGAAGAGAATACAACACCTCACCACCAGCCGACCGATAACTCGCCCCCCAGCCTGACCAAGCACCCACTGAAACCTCCTCCACCCCTGCAGTCTCCTAGCTCTTCTGGGTAACTCCCAGTTACCTCCTGGCCATGACGTGCTGTGGTATGGAATACCTCTTTGGTCAGTTTGGGTCAGGTGTCCTGTCTCTGCTTCCTCCCGGCTTCCCTTCCTCCTTAGCAGAGCATGAGGCTCACAAAGTCCTTGGCCAGACCAAAACATCAGCTCTGTTCCCAGGCCGAAAGTCAAAACACAGCACTGCACCAGCTACCAAGAAGGAGAAAAATGACTGCTACTGCTGAACCCAGGACAGTGAGTGCACAAGCTGTCTGGTTGGGTTTAAACCACGACAACTGCTAATGCACAGTTGTCTTTGCTAATGCTCATCTCTGTTCTAGGCCTAGTGGAAGACAAATAAGAAGAGTCTTCTGCACTTACATGTTATGTTTCAGCTCGAATACTCAATTCAGGAATACTTTTTGCATGCTAGATTAATATGTCTAATTCAGTGCCAAGGCATCCATCAGGAAAACATGCTTGTTTGCACAGGGCATTTTAGATATATACTTCAAGCAGTATTATTAACATAGGAGAACTTTGAGCAGGTTTATATTAATCCTGAACTGAAACTGTAAACCTCAGCAGGGACACATATTACAGTTCTATTAAGTAACACTAATTGGTTTACTACAGAAACTTGATGGTCTTTTAGTGTCTGTAGCAACTAGGCAATTGATCCACACAAGAGCTATGCTTTAAGGCATCGTTGCTTTAGAAATGTATTTGCTTTTAATTTTTCCTTTCCCCCTAAAATATGTTTTCTCAGGGAAAATGGTATTAGTCTTTTGTACTTGATGAAATAGATGTTATCTGTTTTGCCTGTATCTCATTTATTTTCTCCCCATCTGTATGCCTGTGCCGTTTTCCTTTTTGTGGGCCCTGGCATCTGTCCACAACAAAACATTGCAAGAACTAAGTTAACAAAGATTAGCTATACAAAAAAACCCAAACCAAAACACTTTTTTCTGCATTTTATATGCCCGCATGAGCTTACTACGGACTGGACCAGTGTTGTGGAGAAAGGGGCAAACTGGAACATAAGTACACGAACAGGATGGCCATTTTCACTGGCAGCAAGTTACTATGTCACCTGTGTTGTAATGGCACATCTTGCTCTGAAAAACCCTCAGGAAAGAGGGCAATTAAGATATGGACTTTGGCTTGAGGGCCAGTGTATTGTGGGCTGAAGCCAGCAGTCTCCGGCTACCGGCTACCGGGCTGGGTCTCCAGTACTACACAGGCTCTGCTGTTTATCACACTGTCCCTGGTGTAAGATGTATTCTAAACTGCATAGTAGCAATTTAACAGAAGAAAAAATTTGTTGTCTCAGAGAGAAGCTGTAAAAAGGCTTTTTAGTATGAGTCAAATGCTGTGTAAAGGAAGGTATGCTGTAAGAGACAAGAATTATTTCTTTTATGCAAAGAAGAGGAGAATACCATGAGATCCCTGGAAAGCAAAGAATATCTGCTCAAAAACATGAGAAAGAGAAATAATTTTACAGTTAAAAGTTCTCTCTTCTGATCTATAGCAATTCAAAGAAAAGATGTTGGGATAAAGTTAACTAGAGTTGGACCAGAGAAAGAGTACCTATTTCACAGTTTTTATGGGATAAAAAGCAATATGGGAGGTTGTTTGGAATCTTTCCCATACTAGGAGATTATTCCAGAAAAATTTGGTGACAGTTCTTTTAACTTATTTTCAACTGGTTTTAATACTTCTTCTAAATGTGTTATATTTGCAGTGTTACTTTAAAACAACATACAGTGCATTAATATTTTTTACTAAAAGTATTACATGTGCAATTATGTTCTTAGTCTGAAAATGTAACTATATGCTGATGTAGTGCTGCATAATGGCACATCTTTTAATGTTAGCTTTGGCAGGGTGTTTTGTGCAGCTAACTATTACTTGTCCTTGATCACTCCTGCTCTAGAAAAGTAGTTCCTATTTTGATCATAAGCTCATTCACAATGCTGCAGCTATTTAATTGCTTGTTAAAGGTGATATATGGTAAGAAGAGAGTCTCCATAAGGATAGATGGGTATACACACAGTCACAAGATTGTGGATGTAAGGAGACAATACTAAACTGAAATTTGAAGCGGTGGAGACTTTTAAAATGGCATAATGCATTACAGTTAAAAGGTGACTTAACAAAACCTCTTTTCTTGACACAGGACACTGCTATGAGCAAACTGTGGTTCAAGCAAGATGACAAATTTTTTTTGCCAAAAGCTTGTCTCAACTTTGAGTTTTTCAGGTATGCAGTATTAAGTATGTCACACAAATTGCTCTCCCGAAGTTTCTTGTTTGTTAGAATGTGCATTTCTCTGGCAAAAACTTTCTTGTGTGTTTTGAGGCTTTAAAACCTTTGTCCTGGGAATGTGCAGTAAGGTACAGATAGCAGGAAGACTCATGTAAATTATGCAGTAGTTGAGTGGCAAGCAGTTTGAAGTGCTCCACCTATGTTAACAGGAAAAAATTAATCTAAAAATATTTTGAAAACAGGTTTCTTCTATGTTTTATTTGCTATACTTAAGATATGCCTGCCAGTAGTACCTACTGTATATTGCAAAACACCTCTTTAAAAGTGGGTATTAAATTAATAGTTAAATTGTGACCATTTTAAGGTAGTGTTTTCTTTATAAAATGCTATTCTGATAATAATATTAGGTTAAAGTTCTGTTTTAATTTGCATAATGCAAGCCAGTATAACATCCTAAGTGCTTAAAATTGTGGGGTTTTATTTAACTAACACCAACACTTATTATTTTTATTTTAGAAGAACACTGTATTATCAATTCATGTGCAATTGTCACCTCAGGATGCATGATAAAGTGCTGTAATGTTAATTCTGGTCTTGCATTATTTTCATCACAGGAAAATTATCTGTTTTTTTTAAATGAGCATGATAATGATGTAACTTCATAATGCACATTGAATCCTTCTTTTGAGTAACCACTTGAAATTTTTCCTGGAAGAATTTTAGATGGAGGTTTTTTTGATAGAGGGTTGGATCTTGGTATTGATGTTGGTACTGGTTGGGGAAAATAGGTTGCCTGGGCATTTCTTCTTTTAGCGTTTTAAAACATTACAACTGTTGCAACTTTGATGTGTCGGGAAATAGAAGATTGAAATCTCGTATTCAGAAACAACAACTGCAATGTTTTGTATGCATCTGGTTGTTTTCCCTTGTAGTACTATGTTTGGCCAAAATCCAAAATAGGATCTTATTGATGGATACTGAGTTTCTCATGCAGTGTGTGTTTTGCTTTGTTTTTTTAATCAATTCCATATTAACTGTGGGTGATACAATCTCGATACCAGTTTGTGAATGATTAAAAGATAATAATTGATTTTATGTAGAACGTGCAAAAGTATAAGTCTGTGCACATATGGATGATGTCATGGAATGGGTTGGAAGGGACTGTTAAATGTCATGTAGTCCAACCCTCCTGCAGTGAGCAGGGACATCTTGAACTAGTTATGTGGTGATAATCTTTCCCAGTTAAATTCGTACATTCATCTCATTGAGCCCTTTTAAAAAGCCAGGAGTACTTGAGCTTTGCCAACTATTCTAATGGAATGATTTTCCTGTTTCCTCCTAGGGATAGTTACAGGGGGAATGCTGGTGTTTTTCTTGGGATTGGGTGTGAGGGTTCTTCCCTTTTATTTTAAAAGACAACAGTTAATTGTATACGAACAGATGTGAAGAGATGTTGGCAATATTGGGTACCTAATCTCCAAAAGAAGTTGTAAGCAGGTTTGTCTAGTTTTGATATTTAGAAAAGATTCTTAGTGAATCTCTCCCTCTTTCAAGATGGGTCATGCTGATGTTTATTGGAGGAAATAGTGAAATGTAGTGTTCAGTCGAGAGACTTAATGAAATTACCCATAACTCTTGTGGCTGAGTTAATAAGTGAAAAAAGCCCTCTTAATAACATGAGTTTTCATAAAAAGTTTTAGCCTCAGTTCTAGATCAGAATATGATGACTGTGCTTTGATTACAAGAATTTGTTCGCATTACAGTCCACTTTCAAAGATAGAAAAAAACAGGAGGATTTATTCTGCCTGTAGCCCTGATCATCACAAATCATTAGAAGAATTCCTAACCCAGATGTTGTAGCAGCAACTGCTGTGTAGATAAATTAAGAGGAAGTTGATAAGGGTGGTTTCTCCCTCAAAGATACAAATCCAGTAGGAACAATCCAGGTCTGCGAACCTTCTGGAGTCCCCTTGTTCCAAACCTGAAAATCCTTACATGGCACATACCTTGCATTAAAGAAACCCCACAGTAAAAACCTCTGACACGGGATTTATCATGCAGCCTAAAATATGATGATTAAGCTTTTGCTTTTGTACAAATTACAAATTCAGAACTCAACACATACTGTTTTTTAAAAGGAAGCAAAACAACGGGATGTTGTTTTTTTGAAAATCATCTAAAGGTGGTTATAAACGCTGAACTTTCCCAAGGTTTAGTTCCCAAGGTTTAGTGAGATGGGTGTTAAGGATAAAATGCTAATTATTTTTAACTGGATACTCGCTACCCTCCAGACTAAGGAATATTTCAACCAACTTGAGTTACAAGTTGTTCATAAGGTAACCCAGAATCAAGACTTCAATGTTGATTCCAACTATATCACTTCCGTCTCTGTTTGAAAGGGGAAAAAGCTAGACTTCTAAGATTTTTTCAAATTCATTGTCAGTGATTGAGATGTTTTGCTTCTTCAAGTCTAGCAAAAAAAGGAAGACTAGAAACAAGCATTTATTTACAAAGTTGCCAGTAATAGAATGCAACTCCCAGAGCAGTGTTATCGTAATTGTTTGCTGTTATTTTTCACTTGAGGATTAATGATGTAGTAGTCTTCATTATTTTCAAAACTCCCTGTTGGCATTTGCCAGCTAATGAGTATACAGAACTTATAACCAATACAAACACAGTGATCATTCAAACTGATTAAGTCTCTATTCTAATATCAAAGTGGAAACGAATATAATGAGTTTGGAGGAAGGTTTATGATAACATAGGATTGACCTACATCTTGCTTTGAATTCAGTCTTAATTAAAAAATTCAGTATTAATTGGATTTGCATCATTGGGCATATTGAAGTCGCTCAGTTTTGGGAAATTCTCATCGTAGAGAGAAATGCAACTAGAACAATCTGACCGCAGACTAATTAACCCAGTGATAATAAAAAAGCATATCCTTGGCTAGGATTTCAGACTGTAGCAGGCTCTACTTGTCTATTCGATTTTAATTTTTTTTTTAATCTCTTCCCATGCTTCCTTTCCTGTCTAGAAGGAGGGGGAAGTGAAGGCCTAGGAAACTTCTTAAAAATACCTATTTTAATGTTACCATTGTGTGTGTTGTGGCAATGTGATCTTTGTTCTACTACATTAATGTTGGTATACACTGTGATGTACCATCGTATGTAGGCATAAACATATATATTGATGTGTCTCTGAATATGACCATGGCTGCTGCTTAGGGAAAATAAATGAAAATGGTGTGGGTTGGAATTGTAAGCCATATCCTGACAGGAAATTGTTTTAGATGCTGCTGATTATTTCTGTAAAATTGATACTGACTTCACATGCATTTCAGAAACTTCAGAAATAAATCCTCAGTCATGGGACAGATAACTTGTCTTAACTTTGCAAATCTTTAAAACACACAGATACTTAACAATTAGTGCAGTTGAAACACAGTTTGAGTCTGAATTGCATTTCTCTTTTTGAGACGTTTTGAGAAATTGTATGTGATCAGATGCTTCTAATGCAACCCTAGAGCTTGTGTAGTTGTTTGCATTAAAAAGGTAACAGATATTACAGTGGTATGGTAATGGATATGCCAGACGCCTTTCCTGTGCTGAACATAGTATCTACTGCATATTTTTCAAATTACAGATTGCTAATCTTTTAATTTTTAGAATAGACACTACATTGTTTTCTGTTTAAATTAGTAAAAAGAAATACTAATTAAATTAATGGTCAGCATGCGGGCTTTCATTTCAGTCTGTTATATTGGTTATTCAGGTTGTATTTAGTTTATGTTATTCCTTGTGAATTCTGACTATTCAGCAAAGTAAATATAAGTTGTCTTGATTTAGAAGCACAAATAAGAGAGTATCTCTGGAGTCTTCAATATATTTAGGCCTTGCTTAAACCATAAGCAAGCTAAATAATTATTTTCAGGTATGCTTATTCTTGGCTTTAAAATAGGAATCCTTCATAATGGGATCCATCAGCATACTCACAGAGAATATTGCTTCCTTCAGGTCAAACTTAAAAGGCCAAAAAAAACTGAAAAATCATTTTAAACTGCATATTTTAATTTCAACATTTTCTTCCAGCCCATTTGCTTACGTGGATCCCTTGCATTGTAACATGGCCTATTTGTACCTTGAACTACTCAAAGACTCCCTCAACGAGTATGCATATGCAGCAGAACTAGCTGGCTTGAACTATGATCTCCAAAATACCATCTATGGGATGTATGTAAGTACCCAAATCAAGGAAGAGCTTAGAGCCTTAAAACTACTTCCACTCATCAACATTTTTATATTGATTTGATGGAAGGACTTTCATTTAAAAAATGGGTCTAAGGCTGTTACTCATTTTGATCTTGATTATTAACCATCCTTTCTTTAATTTGAATTTTAAGTTGAATTTTGTTCAAATTCTTCCACAATCTTTCAATTCATATTAAACAAATTTTCTTTATTTTTATATCATTCATGAAATTAATCAGTTGTAAAATTTGTTCCTCCATTAAAAAAAAAAAAGAGAAAGAAAAAAGCAACCTTAATCCAAGCTTACATATTTATTTCAGTTTGTCAGATAGCTACTAAAAGGTTTCTGACTGATGGGGTAGAAGATCCCCTTTTCATGCTGTTAAATGATATGCTTCAACTTGCCTTTTCAAGAACTACTGATCATGAGGCTGCATATACATACTCTTCAGTCATATTTCTTCATCCATTACTTTGTCACTGCTTGAGGTATCAAAGCATTTCTTTTGTTTTTCTTTTTGTTAGTCGCTACATTTATGCTGATCCTCTCCATTGCAACATGACATACCTGTTTATCAGGTTATTGAAGGATGATTTAAAAGAGTATACATATGCAGCACGCCTCTCAGGTTTGATCTATGGCATTGCATCAGGAATGAATGCAATACTTGTAAGTAAGAAAAAAACGCAGGAGGAAATGAAACAGCTTGGGAGTTGTTGAGCTTGGAGAAAACATTTGACTTCTGCATTTCCAAATGAGATGGTTAATGCTTTTGTTCCCCCTTGCATATCTCATAAATTAAAGGCAAAGCAAAACTGTGTTTTAATCAGTACCGAGTGACCTGTTTAACAATGCAGTGTCTTGTAAGCGTTGTGTGCAGTGCAGTTGTTGCATTCTGGTTCACATTTTTACTTAGCTGCATGGTAATTTTGAGAGTATTGTTGGTGATTTCTCTATGTAATTAACCTTTCTGTTGAATGAATCTCAACTTTAGAGATTTCGTTACAATTTCCTAATTCTGGTGTACTGAGTTATGGAAATGGATTGTGCATGTGTTTATTAGAATGCAGTGCTGGATATTTATGGCTTTTCTGTTGTGATGTGTTTTATAATTTGTTTTAAAGAGCTGACAGTACTTGCTTGATAACAATTTATCATAAATATTTCTTACTCAGCCTCTCCTGTGAGTTTCATGGTAGATTTTAACAGTCTGTCTTGAAGTTCTGTTAAAAGCTTATATTAACCATCATTTTGTACCAAAATGTGTTTTGAAATTTCTTGTAGAACTGTTACTTTCCAAAGTATCTTAGTAAGAGAAGATAATGCATGTTGTCTATGTTTTCTATATGAGAGTGGGTGCTGCAGTTTCTGGGTTTTTCTAATCCAGTGCAAATCTCATTTTCTGGTAGCATTCCCTTAGCTTACTGCAAACATAGTTATCTATTCTTAGTTTCAAAGCTTGCTGGTGTTTCCATGGTCAGAGTTAATTCCTTTTTTAAAAAAAAAGGAGCGGGGGGGAGTGTGTGAGTAGTTTTCTTAATTTTTAGTCACAGTCTGTAAAGTTATTTCAAATATAAGGTTTTTATAGGGTCTTTTTATTCTTCCACAGTAAAGATTCTATTTTCACGCATTAAAATCAGTTTACTCTGTTTTGATGTCTGAGAACTCTTAACACTCTTTTCTGTATTGTGAGAAGTTTCATAACTAATAGGTGTAACTATACAATGTTGGTACTTAAAGGAAGGACAGGTGCCACACTGGAAACAATCACCCATGGTGTTTTTTTTAACAGTTTGGGTTCTTATGCTGATTTAGGATATCAGCCTTTGTCATAAATCCATTTATGATGGCTTTTGTTTCTTTCAAATTTGTGGTTCAGGTATGTTTCAGCAACTACAGAAGAAAATAATTCTTTCCCCTGGAAAGCAGGAATTCCCCTGTATGTTGGTTTGTGTCCTAAAATTCAGTTTCACCCTTAATAATTAAACTGCAGAAGTCCAATTTAATTCCTTTTTCCAGAGATATTGACCTGTTCATACTCATTTTCTTTTGAAAGTATACATGAAATCAGTCATTAAAAAAAAAAAAGAAAAACAAAACACAAAACCACAACATAGAAACTTAAAAATTACTGTATGATTACATTAAGCTACAGAAACTTCATCTAGTGAAAAAAGGCATTAGAAGATACTTCAGCCCACCACCAGCCTGGTTATAAATTGTCTTGCTGTTGACAGTACCCCTTTTTTGCAGTACTGCTTACTTTCACTTACACAAAATACTTTTTTTTTGAGCAACAAGATAAACATGAAACAAGGTAAAAAGTAAATTGGAAAGAATATTTAAGAAGGCTGTTAATCTAGATTTCATTACGAAGAGAAAAACCCTAGAGTAAAACCATTTCAGTATTTCAGACATATAGTTTACTGACTGGATTTAATACTTGTAATCATTCAGTATCTGTATTCTGAGTACAGTTTGCTTACATCAGTGTGAAATTACATGAATTCTTTGCATTCATAACCCCTGGTCAAATATGCAATATTCTGTTGTGAGTTATTTTTTGATGGGTAAAGGGATTTTATTTTCAGTATGAATTAATGTTGAATAACAGTGAATTCAGACTAAGTGTTGAAAAGTGTTTTGTTTCTTGAATCATACAAAACTTGGCAATTGCTTTATTCTTTTATCTTCCACATTTTAAGCAAATTATGCACTTTTTCCATAGCTTTCTGTAAAAGGTTATAATGACAAGCAACATATCTTGCTCAAGAAGATCATTGAGAAAATGGCTACTTTTGAGATCGATGAAAAACGATTTGAGATTATCAAGGAAGCGGTAAGCTACATGAGAAACTTGCATTTTGGAGTAATTTAAAATTGAATGCATTGACTTGAAATGAAATCTCATTATCCATGGGAACAGAGAGTGAAATTGTGCTCAGTGGGACAGCAGAATCTTCTTTATTTTGTCGTTTTTGTGGCCTCGAGTTCCCTGGAATGTTTATATTATATTCTTTGGTTAAATATAACTGGCCCTGGAATGTTCTGTATGTCAGTCTTTCTAAGGATTGATCAAGGGATTGCAGCTTGCTTTGATAGTTGTAGAAATCTAAAAAGGGGGACAGGAGTGGAAGTCTTAACTTTATATCGTGTTTTACATTTTGGAAAGGCCTCAGTGGGATCTAGCAATAGAAGAGTGAAATGCATGAAGAGGGAAAGGAAATGTTGAGAAGATTTGCAACATTTCTTCTCCCCAGATAGGAAGAGGAGCTCTGCTCCTGGGCCAAGATCCTTCTGTACAAAAATAACCCCAGCTGGCTAAGTACATACTGACTTCTGTAAGCCTCACTTCCTAAATTTAATGTCTGATCTCAATATATGGAATGTACGTAAGATTCATTAGATATATCCCCCCGCCCCCCGAAGTAAATTTATGAACAATGATTACAGTTGTTAAGCCAAACAAAATATGTAGTTGTTCTGGTCCTTTGTTGAGAGCACAACAGAGGCTGGACAAAGGAAATGAAGAAATGGGATATTGGCACTCATAGCAATGAGTTGTTTGGGGGGGTATAAGTGAGGGCACAAGGGTTAGACTGATGTTAGGGAACAGGCTGCCTTTTGTTCCAGAAAGCTTGCAAATAGCCTGCAGTAGATGAGAGAGTGTGGGCTATAGGGAATATCACTCCACGTTTGCTATAAGCTTATTTAATCCTCTGCTGGTGGTGACTTTTGAACAGGTGACTGGTCTAGACAGATGCCAGGGCCATTGTTTTCATTAGCATTCAGTAGGAAATTCTGAGCAGGTGGACATCAAACACAGGATAGATTTATTGTGACAGAACTTTATTTAGGTCTTTGTGTACCTGACATACACTAAGTGTTTGGAAAGTTTCATCTGGGTGTGACAAACGTCAAGGTAAAAAACCCCAACCCACAGGTCTGTGAATGACTCATTTTGGATTATTCACTTTTAGTTTAAGATGTTTCTCTGTTGTCTTTATGGTTTGCATGAGCTTAGTATTATGCATGTTTTGTAATTTTTATAGACTTCTGTTGCATAGGCCTTTTGTGTATGTAAAATACTGGCAAAATACAAAAAAGTCAAATAGGATGGGGAGATTGCAGTTTCTCCCCTCATGTCTACACCTAAGAGATAGAGGAGATACCAGCTTCTGTTTGGAACAGATAAAGGTTGCATATTGTGAGAAACAGCATGCTTGCTGTTTCTCACTCACGTGCCCTGAAATAAGTTACTCTTCTCCTTTACTGGAAGTGATTCCAGCTTGACAAAACTATTAGTTTGTACTTTCCAGTTCCTCTGATAGAGGAAAAAGATTTTGCTTATTTTGTAAAGGTGCAGCTGGACTACAAAGGAATTTCTTGGAGAAACTCACTGATTCTTCTCTTGTACTTCCTGTATCCAGGCAAAGGATTTCCCATGTTCTCCTGTATTTTTCTAACCAAGTCAGCACAGGGCAGCAACTAGGAAAATAATACATTTTCTATTAGTGATATTTCCTCATCCGTGGACAGTTGTCACAGAATGCGTATTTCCTGGATAGAGCAACTTGATCTAAGTACTTATTTAGGTCATTAATTCCAGTCATTAATTTTATTGAGGAGTTTGATATCATGCTCCTTCAACTATCTTAATGGTTACGTCTTAATCTGTAGGCTTGAGAGGCCCACAATATTACTAAGGTAATTAAACAGTTTTTTAACAGGTCTAACAAGCAAGAGAATGTTCTTAATTTGAAATATATTGGTTCAATGGTACATAAATCTGTTGAGTTCAAGGTTAATATTTTATGTTTAGAAATAGAGTTCTATAATTGGAACTTCATTATTTTGTTTTAGTACATGAGATCACTGAACAACTTCAGAGCTGAGCAGCCTCACCAGCATGCAATGTATTATCTCCGACTCCTGATGACAGAAGTTGCTTGGACCAAAGATGAATTAAAAGAAGCTCTAGATGGTAATGTTCTGCCAGTATTAAACTTTCTATTTTCTTTTTTCTTTTTTTTTTTTTTTTTTTTTACTTCTTTCCTTGTGGAAAATATCTCTTTACTAAACCACTGAAGGTACCTATTTTCAACTCTGCCCGTTATTCAAGTGAAGTCCCTGCAGTGGCAGACCTGAGCTGATGCTGGTGGATGTCCATTCCTTTGCATTTGTCTTCCAGTTTCTATATAGTAGTAGTTCAGGCAAAAGGCCTTAAATGGCTATTTACCTGCTAATTTCAGGTAAAACTTGAAGCAAATCTTGAATGGCTTTATGGATATGAGCCTGGGTATGGCAAATCCATTCGTCAACCAATGCTGCTAAAATAATTTTCTGGGTATGGTGAATCCAGTGCTTAACCAATACCTCTAAAATCATTTGGCTCTAGCTGACATCTTGCAGAACATTGAATGTTCCTGCATTGTACTTCCCAGTGTGCACACTATTTTTTTTTCCATTTTCAGGGAATCTTAACCCCTGTTTCTGTAGATAATAAAGATATTTTATATATGTTTTGTAGGTAATAACAATAGTTTTACAGTTCCAGAACATTGTGGCTCTTAACAAAGAGCAAGTATCTTGCTTTATTTGCAGCAAGAAGAAATTTCAAATTAAGAGATTTAAATTATTTTAGTATTATCTGAAGAATTCTTCCCTACCTCTGTCTGACTGTGTTATAACAAAAGGTGGTTACTGGGAGAGTTTGCAAAATATCTTGTAATATCTTCTTAGAATACACTTGAGACATTATTTTCAAGAACACCTGGCTTTTGTATATATTTGAGGGGGTGGATTCAGAATGAACTGTTTGAAGTTGTAATGTTGAAAACTGCTTCATTAAGACAAGACTCTATAAATGCCCTGACCCATCTGCACAAGGGTGTGTGTTTTTTCTACAGGATTGTTCCAGAGTAGAATTATAAATGCTTAGTTGTGTAGCTTTTTGAACTATTGCAGTTATCTCTGAGGTTAGCAGTGGTGCCAATGTTGCCTGTGAAGTCTATGACAAAATTAACAGTGATGTTCATGTCAGTGGGTTCAACTTTGTGTAGGTCATTGCTTTTTAAATGACTACTGATTTTCTGTTCCATGTGTAAGTTGTATTTATAAGGTTAATACTACTGTATTCAGCATAAGAATGGCTGAAAATTGAATGCTGTCAAGGAATGCTGTCTACTTAGCACTGCTGGAAATCTGCTTGAAATTCAGGGAGTTTATGCATGATTTTTATTTTTTTGTTTTCCTCTCTCACACTCAATGTGACCATAATCTTTTGCAGTATTGAAAAGCAGTTCTAGAGGTAAAAATTAAATTAGGATTATACAACAATAAGAAGTTGATTTGGAATCAGAGAAAAATGTGGAAATTAACTTTTTTACTGGTGGTCAGTTACCCCTCATAAGAGAGGAAAAGACTGATAAGCATGGTATTGGTTTTTCTAATACAGCTAACAAATCTTTTAGGTACATATGTCCCCCACTGAATAACTGAGAGACCTCAAAATCTTAATTGCATTTGTCTTTTCAAAACTTCTGTGAAATACATGAGTATTTTTAGGTTTTATTTTAGTTGAGAAAGTGACAAAATGAGAAATTAATAGATTTGATGATATAGTGTGGGTATTCTTGTAGTGTCAGGGAATTAAGAATGGAGACATTCACTTTGGGATGAACACCCCACCCATTCAGCCGTTCTTTCTCTCTTACTCTGTTGATTCAATATACTAAACTATACTTTGCATTATATATGGGAAACTGCTTTGCTAAGACAAGCTAGCATAGAATATGTGTGTATGTCTATTCTGGGATATATTGCAAAAATATTTTTCTTGTGTATTGTTTGTTACAAAGATACTATCAAAACACCATATTTGAGTTGAGGTTCTTTTTTCAGTCTGGATGGTTAAATGCACAGTGTGTTTCTTGAGCATTATAAACTACATGCTGCTTGTTTAGTTAATAGCTACAGCTTTATCTTGGAACACCACCTGAATGATTGCAGCTATTTTCTCTGGAGAATGAATGTTTGTTCAGCATGATTGGAAAGGAGGCCTTTTTCTTCTTTTTGGAATCTGGGTCAGACTGTATGTGAATTCTAAGCGAAATAAACTATATGATGAGTGCTGCTATTTAGACCTGGGAACTTGCCAATGTTGCATTTTTAAGGAGAGATTCACTTTTTCATGATGATGAGTTTCTCCTCCTGTGCATTGCACAGTACCTAATGATGAATTAGGTGGTACTTAATGTAAAAATACATGTAAATGATTTAACTGTCTAAATATCTATTCTAGATGTCACTCTTCCCCGCCTCAAGGCCTTTATAGCTCAGCTGTTGTCACGGTTACACATTGAAGCACTTCTCCATGGCAATATAACAAAACAGGTTGGTGTGATACCTTCTTTAATAAAACAATTATTATTTAAAAACAGCATAAAAAATGGAAGACTAGTTTAATCTCTTCAGATCTTAAAGCAGTTTTGCCAAAGGTGATTTCATAATTTGACTTTGTACATTTTTATCTTTATGGGAGTATCACAGTGTCACTTTTTCCACTTCAGATTTATTAGGCTAAGTGATGCCCTTGTATTGCTCTTGGAAATTTAATAAAAAGCAACTTATGATCTAAATATTTTAAAGTCTGTGTTGCATATCATTCCTGTGATGTGATCAAGCTGCTCGAGGAATGATACGCTGCAGATCCTGCTTTTGCGTTTAAAAGTTTCAGGCTAACTAGCAAGGATTTAAGAATTCAAGATCCTTCCAAATGAAGCACTTTGCAGAAAGCTAAAGAGGAGTGGCAGGCCATAAAAAAAAAGTGCCAGTTCTGTCTTTTGGGGAATAAAAATCAGAAAGCATTTGTTCTATTCTGTTCCATTGAAGAAGTAACAGTTTGTATTTGCATAGGAAATAGAACCAAATATTTGAATAGTTGAACCAATACAAAATGTAATACTTTTCTTGCACCTGTTTTCATTCTGTTTGTTTTGGGAGGGGGGGTTTGGTAGGGCTGGCATAGTAATATTTCTGTGTTATACCAGCTCTGTGATACTTTACTAGTGGATGTTCTAAACACTGCTAGTGACTGCTTAATGTCCAGAGAAAAAAGTTAACTAGTAAGAAGTTGGCTTTTGTTAGATGTCAGTCTTTTTGTCTTTGATGTTGGGTGGGGGTGTTAGAAGGGCTGTGTGTTTATTAAGTTTTCAGCACTTTCCATGTTTTTTGTAAGATCACTTGTGAGTTTGTGGCAGCACAGACTTAAGAGATTCTGGCTTTCAGCCAAAACTGCTTTGTAGCAAGTTACTGTAATTTCCAATATGCAGGCTACAGGAATACATAACCTTTAACAGTTAAAGCTTTTAAACTTAAGTCCCTGAATGAAACGAATGATTATTTTTTTTTCACTATTTATGATGTTTAAATTATTATTATTTTAATCCGTCAAATAAAAGAAAGTATCTGGGCAACGAGTCGTAATGCTGCCAGCACGTCAAGGAAATGCGTGTTTGAATTTAAATTTGTTTTCTTAAAATTCCACCTGCTGAGATGTATCACAGGTATCTTGTTTTCAAACTTTGAAAGATGAGTTCATCAAAGTGGTAAAGAGAAAGTTAAAAATAGAAGGCCATTGAACTTTCAATTTCACAAGTGTTGGGGAGGAGCAGCAGTAGTTGAACGTATAGACAAGATAAAGGTAGAAAAGGCCCACAAAACCCTTGCTTCTGAAGCCCTTACTTCCTCCTGTCTGCTTAACTTCTGCTGGTTTTTTATTAAATTACAATATCCCTACTTTTATGCTTGATTTTTCTTTCTTCTTTCACGTCACCACCAGTAATTGAAAAGTCTTATTTTGCTACTAGGTACAGAATTATTGTTTAGGTACAAAAAATCCTCTTATGTTTCCTCTTCCAGGCTGCATTAGGAATTATGCAGATGGTTGAGGACACTCTGATTGAGCATGCTCATACAAAGCCACTCCTTCCCAGTCAACTAGTGAGATACAGAGAAGTGCAACTTCCTGACAGTAAGTTAAATGATTGATTTCAGTTTTTTAACATACATTACATTGAGATTCTCTGTTTGCTAATGGCATTTTATAACTACTTTGTTGCTAGGAGTTTGTTTCAAAATCAGACTACAAATTATTTTAAACTTTAAATTTAAAATAAAATTAGGGTGTGGTTTTGTTAATAAAATTATACACTAATATCATCTCTCTGGTATACTTGAAAATGAATTTGGTTTAATTTTTAATCTGTGAATGTAAATTGGACCTCTTGGGGATTGGAAGTGGATGATCTTTATGGTCCCTTCCAACCTAAACCATTTTATGATCCAATCCTAATTCACTCAGTATGATTTGTGGAAATAAGACCCCTGTCCCACTCTTTACAACACTTAGTATACGCATTTGAATAAGCACTGTTCTTGAGTATTAATTGATCATTCAGTGACAGATTATCCTAAATGACTCTTGGTTTTTGAGAAAACTAAAAGCTGTTACACAGGTAACTTCTTTTTTCTCAATACAAATTCTTTTGGTCTCATGGTGTTTGTATACGATTTTACTTCTATCATGCAAAAAAAAAAAAAAGAAAATTATGTGTAAGAAAGGAGTTTCAAGGAATTGCTGAGAGTTGTACAGGAGTGACAATAGATGTAACTATACAGTCAAAGCAAGTCACCCATAGCTGATAATCAGCCTGTGGAAACTACCATATACCAAAGAAGCTATTAATATTAAATGCTGGATTATTTTTAATGTTCATAAATGTTTCTGACAAATTGTCTTTAGAAGCTATTTACACAGTAGAGGCAATGCAGAATTCCATTCCAATTCCAAAAATAATTGCTTGAGGAGAAGCAGCCAGTTTCAATTTACTTACTGATATGCTCAAGCTGTGACATTTTGATGTGTTAAAATAATCTTTTCTTTACTTGTTTTGTGAAAAGTATGCTGTTAGTGGAAATTCTGCTTTAACAGTCCTAAACCGTTCATTATTCCATTCCACAAGTGATCGACCATTATCATTTTAATTGTGGATTATAAGAATGTACATTTTTATGAACGTTGATGTTTTAACTTTGTCTTTTAGGAGGTTGGTTTGTATATCAACAGAGAAATGAAGTTCATAATAATTGTGGCATTGAAATATATTACCAGACAGACATGCAAAGCACTTCTGAGAATATGTTTCTGGAGCTCTTTTGTCAAATTATCTCAGAACCATGCTTCAATACTCTGCGCACCAAGGAACAATTAGGTAAGTGTCCCCATAGTGATTATGTGTCTGTATACACACATGCACGCATACACACACATTTACATGAGACATGATGAGGTGTTCTTTCACTGCTTAGTGAATGCCATTTAAAGTGCCTTTGGTAAATGTAAATCATTTTAACTGCTGGTGACTCAAAGGAGTGTTACCATACATGGACTCTAAATTGAGAAGAAGCAAGCATAATTTTTAAGATAAGTCTGAAATATCTGAAACCAACTCTGGCTTAAGATAGAGTTTGATCACTGTATGGAAAATTTCATATCTAGAATTTTTATAAAAAGGAGATTAGATCAGTTTCCTAAATTGTAGATCATTTTAAGGATTCAGCAGTAGTATGGTTTTTCCTGCTTGTGATCCTACTTTCAGGTGCACTTGATTGACTCATATGCCCTATTTTAAGAATACTGCTCTATGGGTAAGCTGCCATGTTGGTGAAGATGTAAATACATTTCAAACTTCAAATACAGCTGTTCACCAATAAGTACCAGTATTTGTTACCCGAACCAATAAGACTGAGAACTGGTAAAGTTATTCCAAATAGGATAACAAGGATAGACAGAGACTTTGCATAACTGAAGTACTGATGAGGACGCATACTTTTTCCCAGAGGTAAGAGACGGGCAAACGTCTCAGTGTGATGACTATGAAACACCAGGGATTTCAGGCAAGATTAGATGTTTTGTGAGCAAATAGCAGAATCAGCCATATCATAGGGCTTTTAACTAGATAACTGTTGAAAATAGGGCAGGACCCAGGTTATTTAGCAGGTTTTTGGAATGTGGTTGTGGCAGGTTTTGTATAGATTGGAGGTAACAATTAAAGAGGAGGGGGGGAACCAGTGAGGACATAGTTCTTCATGTGAGCATGTCCGGCTGCCAAATGGTAGAGTTCACAAGACTTGGGAAGTAAGACAATAGAAATACCAGCAAAATTCAGTTAACTTGATGGAACTGTTAGTAAGATTCCTGGAAAGATAAGGGGGAAAAGAAGTTCAGGAGTCAGCAGTTTGCTAAACGGTAAAAGTTGTACCAAGAGTTCATTCAATAAATGATTTACCAGGACAAGAAAGAGGAAAAGTAGGTAGTTGTGGAAAAAAGAAGTCAAAGTGGTTTTGGATGGCTTTGTTTAATTTCACTTAAAATGTCAACTGTAACAAGGCGATTTCCAAAATAAATACCAGTGATCAAAGTCTAACCCTTACTTTTGAACTGGAAAATAAGAGATTAAAGATTGTTCATGCAAATTAAAAGCTTTTAAAAAGTTCAAGCATGATGAACTGTACATTACATTAAAAAATATTATGAAATCTTGGAATTAGAAGTCTTGTAAGTAAGAATTTGTGGATGATAGGTGAGGTACTGGAAAAATAAACACAGGTAAATGTGACGTTTCCTTAAAAAAGGAAAAAGAGAAGCAGAGAAACTACAGATCAGTCAGCTTAATTCTAATCCTGTAAAACACAGATTTTATCAAACCAGTTCTGAATTCACAGAAGGTAACTCAGAAACTGTTACTGGACAAACTCAGGTCAAACTACACCTAACTTTTTTATGCAAATAGAGTTTGGCTGTATGGGTGGAAGTGACAATGTCCTGTCTCCTCTTGCTAGTAGGAAGGGTGCATAATATTCTCAAAGAAGCTAAATAGCATCTAGGTAGAAGTGCTACACAAGACTGTTTGGAAAGTCATGACTGGAATAAACAAGAATAGTTTGTTTGTGGTGTTCTATAGAGCACTGTTGTGATCCAGTGTTATTTAGTATTTTCATCACAACTCTCGATTATAGAAGAGTGAATATACTTACTAAATCTTCAGATAATACGAAGCTGGGAGAGGCTGCAAGTGTGTGGGAAGGTAGAATTAGAATTCAAAATTCGTTTGACATTTTAGAAACACGAGTAAGATGCAGTTTGGTAGGAACTGTTTGGCAGGAATAATCAATGGCACAGATACAAGCTAGGAAGCAACTGGCTAGGTAACACTTGTGTAGAAAACAATCTACAGGTTATAGTGGATCAGAAGTAGAACATAAATTATCAGTGTCATGCTGCTGTATGTAACACTGGGATACACTTCCCAGTTATAATGGGAACTTCCAAGATGCACACACAATAATATTGTTCATGTAAGGACTTTGAAATACTGTGTCCATTTTTGATGTGAGCATCCAAGAATGATTAGAAATCTATAAAACAACAGTGGCCTATTTTGGAAACATGTATTATTTCATTTATGATACCGAATTAAACTTAGCCATGTTTGACAACAAACAAATCTGTCGGGTTTGACAGGAATGCAATTTTATGCTAAGTTTGATTCTGTATGACAAATGATATAATTTTAATTCTAAATAATTTTAATTTCTGACTGTTCTTGTTTTGCCAAGGTTACATTGTGTTCAGTGGTCCACGTCGGGCAAATGGCATACAAGGACTGCGATTTATTATACAATCTGAAAAGCCACCACACTATTTAGAAAGCAGAGTTGAAGCGTTCTTAAAAACTATGGAGAAATGCATAGAGGATATGACAGAAGAGGCCTTCCAAAAACACATACAAGCTTTAGCAATTCGTCGTCTAGACAAACCAAAGAAGCTGTCTGCGGAATGTGCTAAATACTGGGGTGAAATCATTTCCCAGCAGTATAACTTTGACAGAGGTAAGAGAAATTACAGTTCCTTTAAAACTGAATGCTGTTTGGCTGCACTTGTAATTGCTCAGTGTCAGATTCATTTGGGAACAACCTAAACTTTCACATAGCTTGTGCATAATCTAATACATTTTTTGTGATCGTGTTCTGTAAGTTGTATTTCTTCCTTCTGCCTTGAGAAAACAACTCATTTGTGGAGCCCGCGCACTCACTGTTGCGGGAGCTGTTAGTAATACAAGGATAAATGTGTTCCGTGATGTTCCCCGTATGATGGGGGTTGGTGAATGATGCATTGGCCTTCTGTTCTTTCCCTTAAGGCTCAGGGAGACATAGTGTATGTCAAAAGACTGGAAGTGATTTGAATTCAAATATTAATGTCACATAAGCTCAAACTTCTTTCTGTGATATTCAGACGTCTGTATTACATATGTGCCTAATGCTTGACTGAGATGCATTCAAATACAATTTGACATTCCTGATGGTGCACACATTCATATGAACCAGATTCCTTTTCCCATTGCACAGTTCTTTTGGGGGAGCAATGGCAGACGCAATAGCAGCTATCTCAGCAATCTTATCTAACATGTCTCAGCTTAGAGAAGGCCTGAAGAAACACTTCTAATTTTTTCTTCATCCACAATGCTGTGAAGATACAAGCTTGCAGAAGATCAAATAAGATCCAACTTCAAGTGTTATTATTGAAAGTGGGCTGACAGTTATTTACATAAAACTCAGTCTGTCCTGTGACTTCTCTTCTGCTTTATATGCACAATATTGGCTTTCCACAGTAACAATAACAAATACAGTCTTTTTGGTCGACAGAAACTGAAGTGTTTCAATAATGAAGAGTTTTGAGTTGTCATCTAGCTTGGTTTCGAGAGAATGAGAGCTATTGACAAGGTTTCATGCCTGAGTATATGGATTTGCAAGGAAACTTATCCCTTCAAGTACTTCTTTTGTGTTTGATGAAACAGTCTAATTTTTCTCTGCCTTCAGTGTTTATTTTTACCATACTTGGATCTATACTGTCTCTCTGGAATTTTTTACTGCTAGCTGTAGCCATATCTTCAACATCTAAATCCTACTAAATTCATTATTTCCATTGACTTTTATATCTTTAATTCCCCTCTGCCCACTGGTAATCTTATGTCATAATAGGACTAGAATTGTCAAAACCAGAAATTCATATTCTAGCATTAAGAACCTTAAGAAGTGAAAGGTTTTTTTCAGGTTTGTACATTTTTATCATTATAATAATTTTACTTCACTTAAAAAATTTCTCCCAAATGTCTTGGAATTTTCCAAACTCTCTCAAATTTCATATCTTCACGTAAATTACTTACGGCCTGTCTCAGACTTCTTAGCTGTGTATTTGTTCTTTTGCACGCATTTCTTTCTTCCTGCTAACCCTAAGAAAAGCAAGCATGCCTACAACAAAAAATGTTCCTGCTTATGCAGAAATGATACTACCTTATGATTTAATTTATATGAAGCAGTGTAGCTACTGAGACACGTTGTCCCCAGATATCTAAAGGTAATTATTCCCTAGCAGGTGTGATGTAGGCACTGTTCCTTACATTTATTAATATAAGTACATCCTGCCAAAGTACATCCTACCATCCTGTTTCCTAACTGTGAATAAAAGCCATCCTTAATCAGTCTGCATTAGAAATGTGTAACATTGATTTGAAGATAATATACAGAAGTAGGCATATCTTTTTCAGCTACTGAATAACATAAAGTGCAATCAGTATTCTTCAAACATGCATTTTTTTAGTAAGTCCAATCAAATGGACTTACTGAAGTACAATTTTTCTGTCAAGCTTCCAATGACACTTTTAGTGATGCAAGTATTAGCTTGAAAGTTAACAATGAAAAGCATATCATTTGCAGTCAATTATAGCATCTGAATTTGAAAGAAATGTACTTTGAATAAGTAGTGTGCTAATAATGAGCTATGATTTGCAGACTTGTTCTAATTTTTACTATTGTTGTGCAGATAACATTGAAGTGGCTTATCTAAAGACTCTGACCAAGGATGATATTATACAGTTCTACAAGGTAAGTCAGTCATGTAGTTGAAGTGTTACTTGGAAGGAGATGTAGCTAAAACTGGATGTGATCTCTGTGAACTGTAAAAGCATATACTTATGCCTGTTTTAGGTAGATGGTATGATTGATGCAGATACCTTAATAACAATTCTGTTTCCTGAATCTACCTTAGATTAATGGCAACTAGCACACCGTAAAAATTGCGGGAAAGGATTGGGTGTTCTTGTGTGGGTTTTTTGGTTGGTGGGGTTTTTTTTCTGTTCTTACCAGCTCTTACTCTCCTCTTGTCTCATTTAGCCATCCTTTATGAATAAAAATATGTGCTGCTCTATGACCAAACTTGGCCAAAATTGCAAATTTATTCTTTTTTTTTCAACTAATAAATTATAATAAATGATTCAGCTTATTTTGCGTGTATGAATTGTGAATGAAATGGATATTTTTAAAGCCTCATTCACTGTAAATCAATGCTTTTTTCCTTCTCTCATAGTTAGGCAGAACAAAGGAACAGTATAATGATGCAATAATTATACATTGCAGATCAGCATGAAGTTGTTAGATAGATATCTAATATAAGCAATTGAAATAATAAGGGTCCTCTCCCCCCCAGTAAACTTGGCCTCATTCCTTCTGGTTTGTAACAAATTTCATAGGCAATGATAATTCGCTATACTGCAAAGTGTGTGCAATGTTGTATTACTTAAGGAGCAGCTTACAGCTATGGGAATACTTTGAAAAGTAATGAAGATGTGTCTTAGGGACTTACTATTGGATGGAAAAAGCTCTGCCCATAAAGAACCATGGGTATGTGTGTATCTGTGTTCTTTATTTCTCTTTGGGTTTTTCAATGGTATGGGTGAAGATATGCAGCAAGTACAAATGTAGTAAATGGAATTTCAGTAGCTGTTGTTTAATAAATGATAACTTGATCAAGTATCCACATTCTGTTTATGTAGGAATCTGTACTATTTTGCTCATCATCTGGTATTCCAAAGGAGAAATAATTGGTTAGATGAGTGAGCTATCCCAGCTGAGTTTAATAATTGTGCTCAGGGTGATGTGATTCCAGAAGGCTGCTAGGGATTGGAAACTCTGCAGAGGTTTAGGTTCCTGATAGTGTGATAGTTAATGGCTGAGTTCCTATTACTTTCAGTTTTTCTAAGCCTGAAACAGTGCATTAATTTCTTAACTTGATTGTGAAATAATTCAAAATACTGTATGGATGAACTCTAATAATATTTGAAGCACTTTAAGCTTACAGAGGGGAGATTTAGAATAGGTATTAGGGAAAAATTCTTCACTATGAGGGTGGTGCAACAGGTTGCCCAGAGAAGATGTGGCTGCACCATCCTTGGAAGTGTTCAAGGCTGTGCTGGACAGGGCTTTGAGCAACCTGGTCTAGTGGAAGGTGTCCTTGCCCATGGCAGGGAGGCTGGAACTACAGGATCTTCAAGGTTTCTTCCAACCCAAAGCATTCAATGATTCTGTGATATGCCAGAATTCATCCTTCTTTATAAAGCTTAAACTAAAATGTAAATGCTTTCATTCTTTTACTGTTTTATAATGTGAGTGACACTTCCCACACCTGAAGGACTCGATGTTTTATACTGTAGGTGCTGTTGGCAATAGATGCTCCCAGAAGACACAAGGTATCAGTACATGTCCTTGCAAGGGAAATGGATTCCTGTAAGTATTGTGCTGAATATAGTACTTCATCAGTTCCTGCTCAAGCAAGTCATAGTTAATCATGTTATATGATATAAATGCACTATAAGAAAAACTCAGCTTTGGAGATTGTATACCTTTCAGAGGAGAAACTACTACTTCGACAGGTTTTCTTTACATGCATGCTGCAAACCAAGTTCTTCTGGTCACAGAACTCATCGTGAAGTACACATGTCCATTTTGAAGTATGTTGATATTAAAACAGTGTGTCTTAAAGTAGCACTCATATTTCCAATGGGATATTTTAAAACAAACATTAAAACTTTGTAAGAGCCCTACAGGGAAAACAAAATTAAGATTTGCAGCTATCAGTACAATGTGGTGGTTGTTTTTTTCACCTGACAAGCAATGAATGTGCTCAGTTTTATTCAAGCACACTCATAGGGGAAAAAACAAAACAACCACCAGACAAACAAAGAGCCCCAACCCTCTGGGAATGTCAAACATACTTAAACTTGAGAAAGTCTAAGTTCATTTAGGTTTTATTTTCAAATTGTTATTAGCTGTGCATTATAAACTGTATTGTTACATTTTTAGAATTCAAGAGGGAAAAGGATTGGATGAAGAAAGTTTTGGGGGGGACTAGAGTAGGGAATGGATGGGGACAGGCAGGTTTGCTATCCAGAATTTTGGTACATGGAGTAACCCCCACGCCTCCATAAGCATGTCATTACTAAAAGATGAGATGTGCTGTTGTTGCACTGCTCTTATTGTATGTATCACTGGCATGTACTACTGTTCTCATAATTTGTATTGAAAAACAGTTTGAAGTATTCATTGACCAGAAGGTTAGCACTTCTTATTTCTACCTTCAGTTCATGTGTAAGTAAAATGAGTAAAAGCCACTGCCTCAGCATATGTTCTCAAATTAAATAATGGATTAAGTTCTTTGTAATTCTAAAGACAAGTGTTCAAAAAATCTTATTTGGAGCTACTTCAAAATTAATAACCTCTTTTTTCATATAGATACCTGTTCCTGTCTTGTAAGAGAAAACAGTTTTCTTATGTAAAAGTTACTGATTAAATTATGGTCCTGAATTAATTTTGATGATGTTAAATAGGCCCTGTTGTTGGAGAATTTCCATGCCAAAATGATGTGAACCTGGCACCAGCACCACCCCTACCACAGGTAAAAAGAAACAACACAAAAAGATCCAGGCTGTATTCTTAATATGGAAATTTAGTATAAGTTTATAGGGAGAAGCAAACTTACTGAAGTCCATGCTGTTGTGGGGCTGACATTTCAGCTCTCTTCTACATGCACTGTCATCCTCAATAACAACAGGGATTTTTCCTAATTATTTTTTGCTTGTTTGTCTGTTTTCTTTTTACTGAATACCTACACTGTGGAGTCAATACAGATTATAGTTGTCTGAAAGTACTGATTGTATATGATCAGATTTATCAAGTGTCAAGAGAAAGATGAATAGGCATTGACAAATTTATCAACTTTGTTTAAAACAAACCAACCCGAGAAAAAACACCCAAACAAACCCAACTATCTGGTCTGTATCTTAAAGCCTAAAATATCAATGAGCATTACCGTCAGTGTGTAACCTGTGGAGGATGCAATTTGACAAATTCCCTTCATACAAGTATTACATATTTCACTGGATGGTTAGATATCATAGTACAGGGCTAGACCTTAAATGAGTTTTTTTGAAGAATGATGGTAATGTTTGTCCCAATAGATAATTAACTGTTCATAGCGCAGTAGTAGATCTGTGTTCTTATTCAGCCCTTTTAGGTGAAATAATCACCATGGTGGAAACATCTGTATGAATTATACGTTGATGTATTAGCCATTATGACTGAAATATTAAAAATGTACTTTGCTACTAAAAATAATAACTCATTGAATTGCTATTGTTTTTATAATCTTACCTCTGATATTGAAAGGATAGGTGGGATGTTCTGAAGTAGAATTTGTAAATGAAAAGACAAGCTCTGCGTTTACTAATGTTTCTGCCATTATTAATAATGTAATTACTGCATTATAGCTATTGTTTCACATTATGTAGAGGAAACATGAAACCATTTATATCACGAAAAATAACACTTTATTTTGGGGGATCTTGTAATAAAGAAGTGTGAATCACTGATATTGCAGAAGACAGAAAGAAAGATGTGTTTATATGTAGCTGTAGCAAAAGTTAGAAGTGAGGAATTTCTCACTTTTGTGATTAAAGATGCTGAGCAGGCTGTTTTTTGCATATGCTTCTTTGCAGCCGAGTGTGATAGAAAACATGACAGAATTCAAGCGGAGTCTGCCACTCTTCCCACTGGTGAAACCACATATCAATTTCATGGCTGCAAAACTGTGAAGAACCCCAGTGAAGAAAAGCAAATGAGGAGTACTGACATGGTTTCAGGGGACTTCATGATGAACAAAATGATTACAGATCATTAGGATAAATGGTTCTGTCCGTTAATGAAAGTCCTGAATTCCTTCTTGGTTCATTTGACATTAGCTGTGTGTTAGGGATAGAGAGTATATAAAAATCAGTTGTGGTCATGTGTCATTTATATTACAGACAACCTGTTGAAAACCAAAATCAACTGAAACAATAATAATAAAAAAACTTGTAGATGCAGTATATTTTTAAAATAGTGTATCCCTCCAAAATTTCATTTTGATAAAATAACTCTCCAGACAAAATTGCCTGAAATATCCTTGTTACTCCTGAAAACCACCATTAGTATCCCAATAATTTATCTTATTGGGGACTGGAGAGGGTGAGGAAAAGTAGGTCCTTTTTGGGATGTGGGCAACAATTTTTCTTAAAAATAGAGACTTTCACATTTTTTTGAAGTGATGTGTTGAATGATACTTTTTTAATTGATCCTTAATGCAACCAACATATTTTCTATTTAAGTTTTATGAAGACCAATGGGGGTGAAGAAAAGGAAATTTGACAACATGGTAGTCAGTGAGAATTGTCTTAATGAGAATAATTGAAGATATGGGCATGATTTTAATCTTTCTATACAAATTGGGGGACATTTTATATTAAAACTAGTAAAATGCTGGAAACACTTTAATAGTGCATCTTATTTTCGTTATCAGAAGTGTTGTCCCAGTCTGTTGATACTGTCAACATCCCATTCAGTTTTTTAGTGTTACTGTGAATTGTTTCCGTTTGGCATATAAAATACGTTGTTTGCTGTAATTTTTTTGTTTTCAGTTGCGTATGTACTGATGGAGAACTTGGTCTATTTTGCCTCATTTGTTATGTTAGGTCTCAGTCCAGCAAAGCACTTAATCGTTCAACTAACTTAAAGCACACGTTAGTCTTGACACAAGAACAGGTGAATGTCAGATATGGGCCCTGTAATGAATCAGATACATTATAGTTCTCATACATCTGTGGGGGTCCTTCTTGTTCCTTCAGAAAGGTATCTGGGACAGTGCAGTACTGGCATAGAACAGGGGGTGGTTCAGGTTACATCACAAAATGTTTCTTCCTACTTCTTTTAAGAAGGCTGCACAGAACCTAGAAGGACGAAGAGTTGTGCTGAAACTATATATACATATGTATGTATATATATTGCATAATTTAGTAGAATGGCAAAACAATAATATATGGTGTCTAATCTTCACCACGTATACTGACTTCTGCAGAGTGGTGGTCTTTTGCTTGGTACAGCCCCAAGATAGAAGAAGGTAAGGGAGCATCCTACTAAGTTCTCCTACCTGTTTAATGCATAAAATTGATTGCAATTTTTCAGACAGTATGGAGTATGCAAAGCACTGAAGATACAAAATCTGCTCATCGGTGGTGTTACTGAGAGTTTGCTTCCTATTAAAAAAACCCGAAGTTAAGGCCCTGATGTGACATGGGTGTTGTCACGTGTCAGAATCCAGCTATATTTGATAGGGGTGTTTTTGTAATTGAAGTAATGTTTTTTCTTACACTGGCTTTGAAGCCAAATTATATGAATGATTGACAGGGTAAGGGCCTTAAGTTGTGTTTATCTGAGAGTCTCTTTTAACTGCGTAATTACAGTGTATTTAAAAGTTATTTTAAAGGTTATCAGTATGTATCAACACCTTTTTAGTAAATTTGATTATAGCTTGTGATGTAACATGTTGCCAGGGAAGGCCACTAGCTTTTTTTTTTTTTTTTTTGGTAGTCTCAGAAAAAAATATTAAACATAATATAAGCAAAACCAGTTAAGGTGTCTGTGTTCACCACATATTTCATGGATCCATTACATAAAATGGGCTTTTTAACCCTCTTCCATTTCGCTTTTGTTTATAGTTTTTCTTTAGTCAAAATATTTGTATTATATATATATATATTAAATTTTTGACAACATATTAGAAAATATATATTTTGGGATTTAGTATTTAAACATACCACTCTTACAGTGAATAAAATGAAATGAAATGGCTTCTATCGAGTGTAAAAATAAATAGATATATATATATATTCATGGAAGTACTATTGACTCTAACAAATTCTATACATAAATTGGAATGGCAGTGTATTTAAGACCAGCTCACAAATCATGCTTTCCAGAGGAAAAAATGTAGACTTTCAAAGTTCTATGACTGGATGTGGAAACCCATGTAGTTCTCCAGCAACTCTTAATTACTTTTAAGTGTTCTCCAGCATTTTACAGTTTCTGAGTTTGATATAGCAGTAAATTTTGATAAACTCAGGCATACTAATGGGTTCATTATAATGGATCCAAAGCTGCAGTGTCTACAAGCAATAAAAAACTACCTAGAATACACTGTAATTCAATTTTAGTGCTTGTTAACTAGTTTATGTAAGAAACCATAAATTATTATTACATAACTGTAATTTTTGCAAGTGCTATTTTAAGCAGTTGATGTGGAATTGGGTGCATGTGACACAGCCAGTATGACAGAGTGCTAGAGTTATTCTGTTTACAATAAACAATCTGAATTTAATGTTTGGAGTTCTTAATTTGTTTCATTTTGATTTTTTTTGCATACTGGTAATGTTACATCTATCAGTCTGTGCATGTGTTTTATTATACATTGATTGTGATTTTTCTGGTAGCCAGTTGCTTGGACTAGTTAGGCTGAACAGCATTGCTGCTGGGGAAGTGTTCCCAGTCACTTCTGGGCAAGTTTCCCAGGATTTCCCCATGTCGTATCCAATATAGGTAGATCCACCCCTGTTGCTCTCTGAGTGTATGAAAACTAAATAATATAAAGGTAGAAATACTTGTACAAGACAGAATTTTAATTACCAAATCTGAAACTGTAAATTCAGAAGCATCACTGCAGCCAGACTGAATCATGCCTAGTGCAGCTTTACAGTGTTGCTTTTGAGAAATTACTTTCCTTGGCCATTTTCTTTGTTTTATGCACACCAAAAGATTACATTTCTAAAGGTTAGGAATTAAGTGTGACTGATCGTTAGAACAGTAAATAGTGTGAGTTCTGAACTCTTGACAGTGTAAAGATGTAAGTCAGCAGGCACTTCTGCTCCTTGAAGTAATACCTGGCAGTTAGCAATGTTAGAAGAGATAGGTTTTGTCCTTGGCATTGGGAATAGCGGTTGATACTCTGAGCAAAGAAACAAAATGTCTGCAACCCACCTGGAAAATTATTTGTCCCCAACATCAGGGCTCTCTTTCTCCGCTTCCAGTAATTAGGGATCAGTGTAAATCTTGATAAACTGTCTTTATTGGTTTTTTTATCAAAAAAATCAAGCTATCTGAATAAAATTATTATTATTAGAGCTTTTCCAGAACACTGTCTAGACACTTGGACATGAACAGCCCTTACCCATAATGTGTTCCACGGGGTAATTGTAATGTGCGGAGAAAGCATTACACACCTTTTTAGCTTTATGTATTATTTTCTAGCTCTTGTTTTAACACAAGGTCAGCATAATCTTTGTCTTTCTTCTCTCTGCCATTTCTGGTTAGAATGCTTTTGTTACAGGTATGCTGTAAAGTGAAAAATAGTTATCTTCTATACCTTCCTTCATGTGTTTTTTTTTTTCTTGTATTTTTTCAGTAGCTGACCATTGAACTGATGTGCTCATCTGCAGTGACACCTGGGCCTTTCTCTTGAGCTAATCCCTAATTTGATAATCACATCCAATTCTGAAGTACTTTAATTTCAAGTGATTTTTTTTAATATTGCTGCTGCATGCTGCACAATACAAGGCACCTCTGTGCTATTTTAAAGGCAGAAGAGATCAGAAAGTCAGGCGCCTTTCTTACCTTTCATGTAATATCAAAAGAAGCTTGGCCTATGCAGACTCTGCTGTGAGGTTTCTATTTGGAACATTTCAGTCGCTATTTACCATTCAAAGAAGATACCCATAAGTTACAGTATGTGCTGTTGGTAGAATATAAATGCTAATGGTATGTGAAATCTGAATTGCAGTTCAAAGGAACAAAGTGTGTAAGGGCAAAGGCTCAGCAGAATGGGAAATGTCACAGTTAAATCCACTTACTTGAACTCTAGCATCTAAGGGAATTTAAGATTGAAAATATTTATGGATTCTTAAATTATTATTTCAAAGCCACCCTAATGCTGTTAACTCTTAAGTGCAGCATGTGGACACGACACTGCTGAGCTTTTGCTGCTGTTAACTTTCAGGACTCCCTTTTCAGTGATGCAGTGAAAAATTCTGGATTAAATTTCTGGACTGTTTGTGCAGTGGATGAGAGAAGCTGCACAGCTCTGAGTGGACTTCAGGTTACTGTTGCACTGAGAGAGGAAGTGACTAGGCTTAGCTAGTAGGAAACTAGTGTGAGGCATCCAAGTTTAAATCCTCCATTTTTCTAAGGATTTACCACCACCTTACTCTGTGTTAGATGTGCTTTCTTCTGCTTCAGATTCCATTACAGCTTTTCACTGCCTGCTCAGCTTCCATTTCAGGAAGGGGAGTAAGGTACTTTAAATCTCTTTGGCAGTTACTAGAAAATTTTCCACTGGAAAGCAGATGGAACTCAGGACCCCCTTCCCACCCTTCCCTCCACCCTGCCCTGTGGTACGTGTGGGCTCGTACGTGCACATGTTCTGGTGGTAAATGCTTAAAATCAGAATTTTAAGCTTAAATTCTACAAAATCAGAACCCGTTCAACAGAAGGGAACGAGGAGGTCCCCACCTACGTTACAGACCTCCTGGTAAGTGGGAAAAATAGGCTAGAGGAATTCTAAGAGAAGATGGAAACAAAGCTGATTTTTTGATAACTTGCACTAAACACTGAGTTGTGGCATAGAAAAACATGCTTTTTATGTGAAGTCTGCTGTGAAGGATGAACTCCTGTGATGGGAGAGCTGAAAAACAACCTGCTTGTGAATTCCAGAGAGATGCAGATCAATATTAATGCATTTGTCATGGTTAAGGCTGAGTCATTTCAGAGCAGGCACAAAGATGGTATGTAGAAAATGTGGGTGTGTACAAATGTTAGTGAAAGCTGAGGCTGAGACTTTGAAGATCTAGATCTTGGATGGGATGCTTTTCAGTGGACAGGGGTCTTACAAATTTGCTGAATAGTATTAAAAGTGGTGCATTTGATAAGGCAGTGTTGGAACTAGTCTAAAACACCAGAATTACATAAAACATTTCACAGCAGTAGTGCTCAAAAATGAGTTCAGTTGGTATTTTTCAAACTTTCCAACTTGCTTTGGAAGGAAGTAAGTTTAGCAGGACAGGTTTCAACCCAAATGATTATTTGCATATGCATGTAAAAGCCAGGGAAGTTCACAGCTTAGTGCCCATCAGTGGTCTAAAGTCAGTAAGCTGTCAAACACTTCAACATTTCCCCACTTTCTCTGTCATTACAGTAACTTTTAGCCTGCTAATAACTTGTGCATTCCAAACCTTCTGCAGTACCAGGAAAGGGGGGTGGCTCGGTAGGGAGCGGAATTGTTTCTTAGGACCACTTACTGCAAGTGAAATTCTGTGTTTTGACTGCAAGATACCAGTGTCATTCACTGGCACAAACCGGTTAAGGATGAAGCTTCAGGAATCTGAAAAAAAGATATACGAAGATAATTCTTTTCACAGATTTTATTAATACTCATTTCCAGATCAAATTGTAGGAAGAGAAAGTAATTGTGACCAGTCTGCAGCGTCAAGTGTATTCTAGAAATGCAGGAATCTGTATGTATAACTGGATCTGGCATCTCCACAAGCTGATTGTTTAGTTCTGATACATGTCATCTTCAAGAGCAGAGTCACCCACTGTTCATCTTGCATTGCATCGTGTCTCTTACAAAAGTGAGATGACCACGTAAGTCCCATTGTCACATCAGCCAGAAGTGTCATTGATGTCCCTTTAGCACTGGAATTTCTAGGATGGATTTTTTGTGATTAGAATTTACCTTCTAATCATGGTGAGCTGTATCCATAAAATTAAACGAAATGGCATGTGCAGTATGGCGAAGCCTGGAGTGCCACACTGGACTGCTGCTGAGCCTCAGCCCAGTGGGAGATCTAAGCAAGTAGTATTTCAGAAATAATTTAAAACCAGGTGCTACTGAACTGCAGCAGGAGACTGATCTGCTGTTGTATGCACAATATGATTTTATTGCTGTGAATAATCTAATAAAAATGTACCTTATGCAGCCTTTTCCTGGAAGTAGGTATATTTCAGAGCGGAATAGCTTGTAGGTTTTGTGTAACTTGAAGAATGCATATACAAAGAATGCTTGTAGTTTGGATTTTACACTTGAATTTAAATGTCAGTAATCGTTAGTTTAAAGATGTTATGAATGTGAAACTACAGAAGATTGTATTAAGCTCAATGTAAGTGTGAGCTCGGGTGCTCACGAGCTACTTAATAATGTGGAAATGGAAGATAATGCATATGAGTTGAAACCAACTAGTTTTATGTCATTTTGCACTTCTTGTCTGGTAATCATGTCCTATCTGTTGTGTCATTGTGCATAAATTATAAATTCCTGTGAAAAAGGGTGATGTGTTATGTCTGTAAACTTCCAATGCACAACTGTGGCGCTGTATAGCTAATCATATGTGTTAGGCTTTTTTAAATGTTGACTTGTGAGTAATAAAGAGTGAATATAAGACGTTAGTTTCAGACATCTTGTAGTGTCTGAACAGTCTAGGTTTCTTTGAGCATTGAAAGCAACATCATAAAGTAGCAGAACGTTTCATGAATTTTATTACTTCTGTGTTCTTTACCAAACAAACACAAAAAAAGGCATTTGAGATAATTAATAACTAAATACTTAACCTGGCCTGACTTCTGGAGTAAATGTGTTGCCTTGTAGAATTATTGATAACCCCAAATTATAAAATGTATATCTTAATGGTTTTGGCATAAATTCTGACTAGTCATTTAAAATAATCTTAAATACTACTGGAATAGCTTCATAGTCCTGAAAGTCTTGTAACATTCAGGTTTTGTCTTTAATTTGAGATCCAGATAATAGGGTCTTAGTCTTGTATAGAAATAAACAGAGTCCTGTAGTTTCATAGCTGGTTGGACTGAGCTTTATTTTGATGATGGTGTTACAGAGATCTTTTGTGAGAGAGATCTGTTACAAAGGTGCTGGAGGAGATGCCTCGGTGTTTACCAGAAGTCCTCATACACCATGCAAGCAAAAAGATAAACCCCAAGATAATGGATATCTGCATTTGTAAAGTATGCATTTGCATTGTAATCAGTCCAATACTTTTTTAAAGCTGAAGTAAAGAATATACCTTCTCAAAACTGTGTGGAAAGATTTAATATGTGTGGTTGTCCAGCAGCTCGGGAAGAGGCAGTTGTTCAGAAAATGGACTGCAACACAAAACAAAACTGAGGATAAATTTGTATGTATGATTAAATAAGACTATACAGGATAGCACAATTAGTAAGGTTAAAAACTCTTTTACTTATTCTGTTGGTAATTTCTGGCTCATTGAACATACTGAGGTAAACCAGAAATGTATGGTGAACAACGTGCACAGTTGT